TCATATCCTATCTATAATGGACGATCAGAGGTTGAAATGGACTAGCAGAGGTTGAAATAGACGAGCAGCGGTTGGAAAAGATTATCAGAAAAGGAACTAGACGAGCAGAGAATGTAAAAGAGACTAGGAGAAGTTAGGATACTGTTGGATGAGCTAGATTGGATTAGATTGGACGAAGAACTAGATTGGATAGACTCGGAGAGTTAAGGTGATAGGGTTATATAGTTAGTTAAAGTAAATATAGAAATGTTCTACAAGTTTACAAAGTAAAGATAATATTCTTCCATTTCCTGTGTTGAAAGCTGTTTCTGGTTGAAGTATGGTCGGAGGAAGGAAGGGAATCTTGAAGTGTATCTAGAACAAGATACTTTGTTTACAAACTTTGCAATCTAACTTACTCTCAGCATCTTCATTTAAAACAAGGGGAGGGACCGGACAGGATAGATTTGGTCAAAATCTTGATTTTTGACGTATTTGGTAAGTTTTTTGGTGTAGCAGTTATTAATGAAGGAGAAGTCAGTTAAAAGATAGCGCTGTCTCGGTCATCTACCTTTAGTAATACTCAGGGAATTTCTGAGTAGAGATAGTTGCGCTTCATGCGGAGAGGGCTTGAATAGGAGGATATCTCAGATAGGAGGATATCTTAGATAGGAGTATTTCTTGGATAGGAGCATATCTTAGATAGGAGGATATCTTAGATAGGAGGATATCTTCGATAGGAGGATATCTTAGATAGGAGGATATCTTAAATAGGAGGATATCTTAGATAGGAGGATAATAATAGGAAGACATACCAAATAGGAGGATGGGCCAAATAGAAGGATTTGCCAAATAGTAGGATTTGCCAAATAGAAGGATTTGCCAAATAGGAGGATGTGCCAAATAGAAGGATTTGCCAAATAGTAGGATTTGCCAAATAGAAGGATTTGCCAAATAGGAGGATGTGCCAAATAGAAGGATTTGCAAAATAGTAGGATTTGCCAAATAGAAGGATTTGCCAAATAGGAGGATGTGCCAAATAGAAGGATTTGCAAAATAGTAGGATTTGCCAAATAGAAGGATTTGCCAAATAGGAGGATGTGCCAAATAGAAGGATTTGCCAAATAGAAGGATTTGCCAAATAGGAGGATATCTTACAAAGGAGGATATCTTAAAATAGGATATCTTAAAATAGGATATCTTAAGATAGGATATCTTAAGATAGGAGGATATCTTTAAATAGGAGGATATCTCAAATTGGAGGATATCTCAGATTGTAGGATATCTCAGATTGTAGGATATCTCAGATTGTAGGATATCTCAGATTGTAGGATATCTCAGATTGTAAGATATCTCAAATAGGAATATATCTGGAATAGGAAGATATCTCAAATAGGAAGANGGGGGGGGGGGGGAGGAGGCCCCTTGAGATCTGAGAGAGTAAATGCGGATGTTAACTAAGATGAAGAATATACTCTGAGTAGGGAGCAGTGTATAGAAAGCTGCAGGGATAGGTACATGACAGCGCAAGATACGAAGTTATGTAATGTTAGAAAGCTCTGCTCTGTCAACTTATGAAGGCAATATTTGCTGAGTTCTAGTTGAACTGAGTTTGGGCAGCTTGGTAAATAATTAGAAAACTAACGAGAAGAAATTCCTTTCCCTTTGGGATATTCACGGGGGCATTTCGTAGCCCAAAATTTCTAGTTGGAGAAACAGGTGTTCACAATTCAAACCTATATTTCCCGCACAATTTCCCCCTAACATAATCTAGAATTCAATGTATTTCCTGCATCCCCTCCCCCCTTTAAATATCCAAATATTGGTAATTTACGTTTTTGGTCTTGACTTGTTTCTGACTCATCTCTTTTCTTTGGCTTATTTTGTTTCTGACTCGTATTTTTTTCATTTCGAATATACTTTTTGGACTTTTCTCATATTTTTAATAATTTCTCTTATTCTTCTTTCTCTCATATTTTTCTTGCAGCTCTCTCATATATATTTCCTGCTCCCTTCATATTATTCCTGCTTCTCTTCCTAGTATTTCTTGCTCTTCTCGTGTTTTTTTTTGCTTCTCTCTTATGTCATTGCTGCTCTGATCTCGTATTTTTTTCTTGTTCCTTTATAGGTTTTTTTTAAAAATAGGTTTTTGTTTTTTACCATATTCTTTTTGTTTCGTTTAATTCTTCTTGCTTTTCTCTCATATTCTTCTTGCTCCTCTCTCATACTCTTCTTGCTCCTCTCTTATACTCTTCTTGCTCCTCTCTCATACTCTTCTTGCTCATCTCATATTCTTCTTGCTCCTCTCTCGTACTCTTCTTGCTCCTCTCTCATACTCTTCTTGCTCCTTCATACTCTTCTTGCTCCTCACTCATACTCTTCTTGCTCCTCTCTCATACTCTTCTTGCTCCTCTCTCATATTCTTCTTGCTCCTCTCTCATACTCTTCTTGCTCCTCTCTCATACTCTTCTTGCTCCTCTCTCATACTTTCCTTGCTCCTCTCTCATACTTTCCTTGCTCCTCTCTCATACTTTTCTTGCTCCTCTCTCATACTTTTCTTGCTCCTCTCTCATACTTTTCTTGCTCCTCTCTCATACTCTTCTTTCTAATTACTTTTGCTCATCTCATATACTTACACTCTTCTTGTTTATGTCTCATCTCAAGTGAAGTTTCTGGTTTTTTTTTCACACTTAAATTTACATTAATGTCTCCTTTTGGAATTTGCGTTTTAAGATTTTTATTTGTTTTATTTCCGGAGGAATACAAAATTATGATCCGCATGTCACATCATATTCAATCTTCTTCAAGTGTTTTATAAGTTAACACTCGGTTTAAGTGGTCTAGAGAACAAGTATATCTCTTCATATCCTATCTATTGTTCAAGCGTTTAATAAGTTAACACTCGGTTTAAGTGGTCTAGAGAACAAGTATATCTCTTCATATCCTATCTATTCTTCAACTCACTTCGTTTTAAGATTCAAGTTTATTCCTGCTTTATCTGCGTATTGCGAACTTGAACTTTTGGTAACCTGAGACAGCAATATTTATTTTACATGGATTCATTAAAAGTTTTCCAACCTAGAGTCAGGACTGAGGATCAGGGTTGATAAAATATTCATAAACTGTTCCATTTCTTTTCTTTATTTTGACAACAGAGACCCCAGGTTTCTTGGATACACGACACACAAACATATAAACATTGGTTCAATCAAGTTTTGTCGGTTAACTATAAAATGTAGAAACAAAATCTCTTCCTTGTCCGCAGGAAAATGTGCATTTAGGACTGAAATCTGAATACTATTGATTTACGAAAGAATCAACCTCGAACATTAGAACAAATATAATTAATGGAAAACTCTGTTTTTCTATATTTCAAGGTTGATTAATTTCTGGGGATCAACCTTTCAGGATGAAATGCATCCAGTTTTCATTTTATCCTTCTATAATCACGGCTACCACATAGTCTCATGATAAGTTTCTTGATCTCTTTGTATGTACCTTTATTCTTCTATTCTGTAGCACGGGATAGGATTAAAATCCATGGTTTTGTGTTGTGATGTTGGGATTAGAAGTATAGGGATTAAAGTTGAAGAACGAGTGTAGGTCTGATAATATGATTGTATGAAACCTTCCCCGTTATCCATACTGGGAAACTTAGAGGCCATAGTTTATCATAAGGCGCACACACATGTGCCTGGAGTATAGAGTGGGGAGGGGGGGGGGAAACCGGTCCTGGTTCAATATCTTTTATATCGTTAGGCAGAGTTTTTACTCCGAACCCTACGCCAGCAGCGCGTAGAAACTGGTTCCTGCACGGTTTCAAGCAATAATTTCTCCGATTTGCTAAACCCTGAAACTATCATTTAAATTTACAGCTAAACCCGTTCAACTGTGACAAGGTTGAAATTTTACGTGTCGATAAAACAATTTTTAAACCGTAATGATAGTATGAAATGAATTAAATTCATTATCGAATTTATTTTTATTTTGTAGATTTATTTCACCATTAAAATTCTGAGGTGTGTATTTATGTATCTAAACATACTAGTTAAAAATCTAGTAATTATTTTCTGGTTTTAAATGAAACTTCTGAACCGATCGGGCCCAAATTTTTTGTTGGAGCTCGCGTGACCCCAGTGAAGGTTTATGGTGATCAAAATTTCAAAAGTTGCCTTCATCAAATTTTTTTTCATAAAATTCGCGAAAAGAACATGTTCACAATTAAAATTACAGTAGCACTACGGGAATGTTTTTAGCCTAGCTTTAGACTTCTTAAACGGGTTGACTGTAACAGAGAAAGATTAGTTTCCATGCATAGCTGGGTTCCCAAAATAGTAGTTATACTTAATTATTTTATTTACTTCACAACTATTTTAAATATATACTTTGCTTGTCTGTTTGTTTGTATCCATTAAACGTCAAAACGGCTGAACCGATCAGGTCAAAAAAAATTTGTGGAACCCCACATGACCCAAGAGAAGGTTCAAGGAAAATTTAATTTAAAAAATTAGCCTCCAACAAATTTTTATTTCTATTTAATTTTAAAAATCCACGATTTTTTTTTGTGAATTCTGTGAACTTTATTGTTTTTGTTGAACAATGTTTATAAAGAGAAAATGTTCACAATTGAAATAGAAGATGTCTAGTTTTATATACTTTAACAACTATTTTGTCTAGGTATGGACCTGTACAGAGTGTACGAGTGCTCCCTCGACGTGAGGAGCGGGACGGATCCAGCTCCACCTCCGTCACTGTCGCTTTTATCGACATCACATCCGCCCTCAAGGCTCGACAATCGGAGCATAAGTTCGACGAAAGGTAAAAAACCAAGATATAAAGGGAGGGTGCATTTAAGTTATTGATCCTGAAGTCGGGATTTGTGTGTTGTAAATCCGTCTTAATTCCTCATCAATATCCTGTGATGCGTTCACCCTGCAGGAACGACCTCAATTGAGTGATAAAGCATCCTCAAATTTAAAAGTGTCCACGTTGGAAATCAAGATCATTAACAAGCGTTATTTAATATGATCAGGGTTGAAGGAGCGAGGATACTTTACGGATAGTAGATAAACGTTGAACTTAAGATCAAATGTGTTTCTTTACTGTAATTGCATGATGATAAACATCTTTAAAGTTATTAAAGCTGTTTTATGGTTAATTTCATATTCAGTTAAACGTTATCCTTGTTTCAGTCAAGTCTTTACATTCTATAAATAAGTTTAGAAATTTAATATTTAGACGCATTCAATATTTCTAAGAAATGAAGCATCGTACTATTTTTTATTAGAAATTTTTATTTTTAAGAAACACAATATCCCTCGAAACCTTGAATGCTAACTATTACAGATTTATTTTTTTACTGCTTTTCCTGAAAGTGTAGGGCTTGCTTGCACAGAAAAAAACGTTTTGGTTTAGATTAATATTCTTTGATTTCGGAGGAAATTTTGTTATCTTGAGCTGAGCTGAGTTAATTCTCAGAAATTAACTTAATCCTACTGATAAAATGAACCTTCACATGTTTTTACCAAGAATTTATTCCGACTTCGTGATATTTTTTCGGTTTTTTTTCTTGGACAAATTGGTTTCTCCGTCTTTTGTCCTCCTTTGTAACTGCTGAGTGGTAAGAATGGAAAGATGACTGGCTGGTTTTATTTTTGCCAACTGGTAGAGCAACGGTTTTATATTCTCCGTGGTACAATTAGTACCTGGAGCTTTGAGTATATTAAATCTTGCAAGTGCGTCTACAATTTTTTCATAATATATTGAAGGTACATTGAAGATATTTCATAGTTTTATTTTTCAGAGTTCTAGAGACGGACTTCTACAATCCTGATTCCTCGGTTGCAGTCCAGGGTAGCTCCACTCTCACACATACAGATGAGAAGCAGACTGTAACACAGGGAGCAGGGATAAACACGCTGGAACAGAGATCTAGTCAGGCATACTTGAGGGGACCTGGTCCCACCCCTCACAAGTTCAGAGGGGGAGGATATCATGATGATTATAGAACCAGGCCTCGTCATCAGTATAGAACCCCAAACTTCAACCAGGATACGTGAGTATTTTTCAGTAACTTTTCATGGGAGGGAGGGAGGGGGGGGGAGGTTCTGTTAAAAAAGGGTCTTAAAAAAGCACAAGATAGATCTTGAACCTTTTTTGTGTTTCTTGTTAATCATGCCGGAGCTCATGGGAGTTAGCACCGATGGCGGTCTGGCCTCTCCAAGATGGGGGGGGGGGGGGGGTCTTCAGATCCTCCCAATTATCTTATCTTATCTTAATTATAATGGAAAATGTTTCTAAACGAATTGAACTTTAAATAAATCCAATAATTTGAATTATGAATTCATTAGCACTAAATTTATTTTGTTCCGATATTTCTCTAAACAGAATTTATTATTGATTTTCGACCATAATAATTCTCAGTGAAAGGCTAGGTCGCCAAAGAAAAGCTGGTCTGTTTATACTACTTATGGGATCTAACTCTTTAATTATTTTTTTGCTAACACACGTAAATAATATTTGTCAATGTAAGTATTGCGTATTCTGAAGTGTAAATTTCAGATATTCTCGGCTTTATATAGAATTATAAATTCCCTTAATTGTTTGCAACAGTTTATTTTTCTTATTTATGATGCTAATAAATAATTTTATTTTAATCTTGGATTCTTGTTTGATTATTTTATAATTTGCTTATCTTTCCTCGCCATAAACATAAAACAGAAAATATTCTTGGTGAATGTATTTTCTCCAAATATTAATAAATGTTTATTCAGGAGAAATGGAGTGGTGGGAGTAGGTTCATACAGGAGTAATTATGCGTGGAAGGAGAGGGCTGGAAGGACGGACCAATACAACAGTGATAAGTTGGATAGGACCAAACCAGTGAATGGACATTCTGGTATCCTAGACCACCCTCAACCAATCATATCCACGCACAGAACAAAGAAGAAACGAAGAAAATCTCGGTCTAGTGACTCCGGTTCTAACTCTAGTGGTTCAGGTTCAGGATCTAGATCCTCCTCTAGTTCTAGCTCAAGATCTAGCTCCAGCGGGTCCAACTCCAGTAAATCTAGATCTCCGTCTAGAGCCTCAGTTACTTCAAAAATAAAGTCTAGTTTGGGAAACTACCTACCCCATACAGAGTTCGATAAACAGTGTACCATCATAGTTCGAAATCTTCCTCATAGGATCGAAGGTGAGAATTCATCCTAACCTTGTTAATGCTTCCTAATCTTATTTTCTGTGGGTTAAATCTTAAAATATCTCCGTTCAGTGGCACGGGCATTATGTTTCATTCCAAATCCCTCTTAATTGTTTTATAATGGTTCTTGTAGTTTCTTATCATTTATATATCTTCTCCTTTCTTCATATTTTTTTAGCCCTTCATTCCTTCACGTTTCTAAATCCTGGACTCTTCTGGGTTCCCTTTCATTCCGTATCCTTATTTTTTCATATTTCTCGTTCCAGGATTGTTTTTTTTTTCAGTTATATTCCTTAGCTTATCTTTATATTTCGAGTTCAAGGATTGTTTTAGGTTTCCTTTCATTCATAATCATTCTCCTTTCTTCATATTTCGTGATCAAGGATTGTTTTAGGTTTCCTTTCATGTATATTCCGTCTCCTTTCTTCATATTTCGAGTTCAAAGGATTGTTTTAGGTTTCTTTTCATTCATAATCAATCTCCTTTTTTCATATTTCGATTTAGGGATTCATGTATATTCCGTCTCCTTTCTTCATATTTCGGGTTCAAAGGATTGTTTTAGGTTTCTTTTCATTCATAATCAATCTCCTTTTTTCATATTTCGATTTAGGGATTTCCTTTCATTTATATTCCTTCTCTGTTCTTCATATTTCGAGTTCAAGGGTTGCTTTAGGTTTCATTTTATTCGTAATCCTTCTCCTTTCTTCATATTTCGAGTTCAAAGATTGTTTTAGGGTTCCTTTCATTCAGTTTCCTATTCCTTTCTTCATATTTAGAGTAATTGGATTGTGTTTTCCTTTCATTCAGTTTCCGTTTCATTCAGTTTCCTACTCCTTTCTTCATATGAGTAATTGGATTGTGTTTTCCTTTCATTCAGTTTCCTACTCCTTTCTTCATATTTCGAGTCATAGGATTGTGTTTTCCTTTCATTCAGTTTCCTACTCCTTTCTTCATATTTCGAGTTATAGGATTGTGTTTTCCTTTCATTCAGTTTCCGTTTTTCTTTAATTTCTGTAACAACTTCCCTTTCATTCCAAATCCTTCTTTTATTCTTTTTATTCTAGTTTCAGGGATTTTAATATTTATCCGTTTCAAGTACACCCATTTACTTCCTCCATTCTGTTTCATTTTTCTATCCATAAACCTTTCCATTATATCTTTTATGCATCATCTTAGCTCTATCCATACAAGATTAGAAGATTGAATATATCATTAACAATTCTAGGTCCCCATTTATTCTTAGTTTAAACCTTGCTCCCGTCTCTTAGTAGAGAATTAATAATTGGTCTAACACACCATTGACTCAATCCGACTCAATTAATTTCACCTCTTATTCACTCCCTTCAAAGGGAATTCCCCTTCTCTTTATAGAATCCTTTTACCACCGATGTTTTCTTTTGCATGTCCTAATTTTTCATCTTTATATTGAGTTCTGTTAGATTTGTGGCTGTAATTCCAATATTTGAATATTTGAATCCTTGTTGCTAGCTCATTCCCCGTCATCCTTTATATTTCTTCAAAACTTTCTTCTTATCCTAGAGACACAGCTCCTGAGAACCAATTAAACTTGAAATTATCTTCCTAGCTTCTTACTTCAGAGAAAACCCTAGTTTTCCGTTATAGTTATCTCAACGCAACTTCATTTAAGTTGATAATTATCTTAGTTCATTAAACTCATTCATTTCAAGGTTGTATAAATCTTTTCTTTACAGATGTTAAGCTAAAAGACGAACTACACCATGAGTACAAGAAAGGAGGTTGCTCCGTCAGAGCTGTCAGAATTAAAACCCTGGCGAGTTCGCTCCGGGTTGCTATTATAACCTTCAGTGATCCAGCCGACGTATCTAAGGCTCTCGAGGATTCAAGAAATAAACGTATTTTCGGATCCTTGATCGAAGCTGAGAAACTTAACAGTCATCAGGATGAGAGGTGGGTTATTTTGTCCTCTTAATTCCTTAGGATCAGATACCAATCAAAATCCTGGATCTGATACAAAAATTATTTTTTTTGCAAAATTTAAATATGATTTAGTTTAACAAAGCGAAGATAGTAAAGGCTCTTAATATTGTTTAATACCTGAATCCACATCTGGTTCCCAAGCAATAAAAAAGGGATTTTATGCCCTGAATTGGAAAGCTTTAATATTATTAAATTTAAGCTTATTTAAGAACAAAGAAAATTATGTTGAAGGATTATTTTTACTAATCCAAAATAAAAAAAATTAAGTTAAATTGAAACAACTATATATTCTAACCACTCTTTCGTCAAGAAATCGGAGATTTTTTTGCGTTTTTTTCCGTGTTTTGAATTTTTATACTTATGTGTTCAGTAAAATTATTAATTTTCTAATCTTTAGCACCACTAGCTTCGGATTCAGGTTGGACTGAAACAATTTAATTTCTTAGTTTAGATTAGATTAGATATCTGTTCACTCTCTTATTAGATTATTTCAAGTTAACCAGCACCCTATACCCTTTAACAAGTAGTAGAAGAACTAATGGGCCATAGGGGTTAATGAAGATTTTACTGTTTTTTTTTCTAATATTGGGAATGGGAACATACCTTGGCATTCCTGTGGTTTTTTGTAAAATAAAACCAGTTTTAGTTTTATAGTGTTCCAAGAATAAGTTGGAATTGACGGATATGGATATAAATATTGGATATCAACCTGAGAAATTGAAAACGTCCCTTTGCATCAGTATTTTTGATTTGTTCTTCAGGCTTCTTCATTGATTTTACCTGTAGTGTCAGATACTACTGTACGCGGTCTGGGTTTCTCAAAATGGGACTTCTTGCAGATCTCATTCTCGTATAGTTTGTCGTAGCTAAATAATAATAATTTCTTATTTTCTTCTCCTTAGTTCTATCACTCCTTGCCCTGCATACTCTTCCTTTCTCTTTTGAAAAAGTTGAAAATCTATCTTGTTTTTTTTTTGCGTGAAATGCTTTGAACCAAATCTATATCTGGACGTGTACAATTATAAATGTTATGGTTGTGAAGAATGGAAGCGTGAAATGTTCCAGTGGTGTAGGTTTTGTTCAACTCCGGGAACAGGAGAAATCCCTGCATGGTTGCGTTTATTTTTATTGTTTAAAAAACTATAAAACTACCCATTTTTACCTGTGTAAATGTTTAACCGCACCTCACCAAATTCGTTATTTGTTATATTTATTTGTTTTTAACCTTAAACCTTTTGTAACTTATTTAGTTTGCTTGAGTATATTGTTTAATTTACATTAATGCGTTTATTTGAAATATTTACAATCCTTTTATTTTGTATTACTGTATATTTGCAATCATACATCAAGCATTTCTGTAGGAATACATCTTTAACCAACAGTTTTATTTTTTCTCATGTATTTTTAGCACTTATTAACTTAGCTTTTTTTCCTTGTCCGGATACAAGCATAGTTTTGTAAATATATTGGATACATAATACATAGCTCAGTAATGTATTTCAGTAATTAAGTTTATTTTCATATTTTCAGGCCGAGAGATTCTGAGTTAAGTGAGTTCCATCCTAAAGCGACAAGAACTCTTCACGTTGGTAACATCTCTAGAGAGGTGATTCCGAACCAGATCAACGAGAGGTTCAAGGAGTTCGGAGAGATACTCGAGATCGACATCAAGAAGCCTGATTATGCCCTAGTTCAGTTTGTTGACATCAAGTCTGTGGTTCGTGCAATTCGAGCCGTGGATGGGGAGGTTAGTTTAATCATTAATGCTTAAATAAACATGTGCAAAAATTGATCTGCTTTTATTTAATTTGATTTGCTTTTATTTAATTTGATTAGCCAATTTGTATGATAATATTTCGGATTAATTATGGGAGGATAACGTGTAACTGGATCCGTTAAAGGCTTCACTTGTTGTTATTTAATCTTTTACCGATACAATTTATTGAAACTAGACACCAAGCTATAATAGTTATACATGGATACCTTGCATATAGTTTCTTTAACTCTTTTACCTGTGCAATACTGCTTTCAGTTCTTTCCTACCTTCAAAATTACCAGAGCAATGATCTAGTGTCAAAATATTTACTTTTTAACTTAATCCAGTGACTCAGTGGTGTATAGAAATATTGCAAGATAAGGTTTTAACCTTTTATGTTTAGTTGATAGCTGGGCAGAGGGTACGGTTGGCCTTTGGTCCCTCCGTTGCTACAAAGTGTGTTTGGTGTGACGGGGTTGGGTCGGAGGTAACAGAGAAGATGCTTCAGCAGGAGTTTGCCCAGTTTGGGAAGATTCAAGATCTCATCGTTGACCGGTCCAGGGGTCATGCTCTTGTGTACTTGGATCAGGTAAAGGCAGTGTTCATTGTGCAAACATATTTTTATCTTTAATTCTTGCTTAACCTCAGTAAACAGTAGACTAAAGATTTACCACAATTTTACACGCTATCAATGATAATACTTCAAGTTTAATTCTGTTTTCTATTCCAGCTGAAGAAAGCTACAATAGCTGTGACAGAGATGAGAGGTAGAACCCTTCTCAACTCCAGACTACAGACTGACTATGCTAGCCATGAATGCCGAGCTGCATTCTTTGACCACTGTAAGAAGTCTGGGATGGATGTGAGGGAGAGAGCTAAACCCTGGGACCAAGAACATCTACCTAACTCAGAGCGCAGGTAAAATTAAATATTTATAATTTTCTGGTCAATTACCGAGCTCCGAGTATTCTTAGAATTATTGATTCTGATATCGAGTACTTGATTATTTAATGTTAATATGGTAGTCATTATCCAATTTTCTATAAACTTTCCCAACTTAAGTGCTCTATTACTTTATTTGATACTCCTGGGAGTACTTATCGTCCGTTTCTTAGCCTTCATTAACAATTAATTTATTTTTCAGGGATGGAGATAGTCGGGATAGATTAGGGAGAGAGCGCTCCATCGACTCTCGAGGAAGTGATGTTCCCAGGGGAAGTACTCGAAGAGAAGAGAGAGGAGACCGATCCCATAGGAAGGGACGGGACGAATATGACGAGGAACTACGAAAGTTTCAGTCTGAGCGAGGAAAGTTTGACGACAGTGATAGGTGTTTTACTCCACCACACAGACGAGCCCCTCCACCCGTCTCAAGGTCTCCTTCACCCCCCTCCCGACTAGCTCGGTCTCCGGGAGCTCATTCGCGCTCCTCGGGATACGAGATCAGAAACGACGGAAGAACATTTTCTGACCGAGATTCCGTTGTTTCTGATGGATCCCGCCACGGGTCTCCTGCACGTGATACATACAGAGTTGGAAGATATAAACCAAGAACCTCAGCGATCTCACCCCCTCCTATTGATTCCAGACATAGTTCCCCTGCTCATCTAGACGATTATGATCGTCGCAGGAGATCCTTTAGACCACTAGAAGGTGGAGAATCCAGTGATTACAGAAGTTCTAGACTAGGTTCCGGAGACCGAGTCAAAGATCGGGAACGTCCGACCGATCCCCGAGTGATAGAACAAGACATTGATAAGAAAAGTGCGTATAAGTTGGTAGGAGTGGATAGCGGATTGTCAGAAGATACGAGTAGTGGCAGCAGTGGCAGTGTACCTGATCTAGATAATGCTAAACTGTTGGCTAGAGTATCTGCACCACCCCGCAGAGTTTCAACAGACTCTGCAGTCTCCCGCTCCTCCCAACCTGGGCCTGACAGCAGGCCTCCCACTCCCTCTCATATCCCGGTGTATGCGGGAGCGTCCTCGCTCCTCAGAGTGATGTCTACCACCCCCCATGAGCTGGAGTCTGAAGCTGGGTTCGGAGCCCCTCGAACCCCTTCGTCTCCACCTCCAGACTCCGATGGGTCTAGACCTGGGACCCCTCTCTGTGATGAAAACCCTGAGAACCTGATGTGTCGGCAGTCCGCTGGACCAGTCCGTCTCTCTTCTCATCTCAGAACTTCGTCTACGTCGGAACCCATGTCACTACCTCTTCCTATGTGAGTATTTTAATCTATATTTTATTATGAAATATTTTCTTAATCGTTAATTTTATTTTACAACCGTTGTCTTCCTAGTATCTTCAATTTAATGAGAGTATCATATTTCTCTCTTCAATGACAACATTTACAGAGAATCATCAAAATATAAAAGAAAATGAGTTAAGAATTTATTCTTTATCCAGACCAACTTCTAGTGCACATAGAAAATATTAGTCTGGGGTTCTTTTGTTGAAACTTCCCTTGTCTTAAAAGTTCTCTTATCTTCTCAGAGAAAAATGAAAAGAAACATTTTCTGATTCAACTAAAATAGAATTAAAATTATCTCCAGAAATGGAATCCAACAGTTTTCTAATCTTCCAATTTGAATACTCTTCTTTTCATACAGTGTTGCTTAATCAAATAATCCTTTCATGAATATTTGTATTTCAGGTTTGCACAGGATGTTTTATCTACCTCCCCTGGGGACAGACGGAGCAGTACAGAAAGATTGCTCCGCCCTAATCAGATCTCACCACGAGAATCCACTCACTCAGTCCTTAAGCAAGGAAGACCGGATCTCGTTAAACTGAGTATCGTTTCACCGACCAAGTTCGGGAGCCCCTCTCTGGGTTCCCGGGATCCAAGACTGAAATCCCCAAGCATAAAGTCCCCAAGCTTGAAGTCTCCAAGCCTTCCAATTTCATCCCCTGCGGGAGGATTAATGAAATTGCGAATTTCTCCGACAGTACCTGCCGTTCCTAAGACTCATTCCAATTTGGCTTGCGCTTCTCCGGACCTTGCCACAGGGTCGTTGATGGTGAAAATAAACACTCATGTCGAGACGAAACCAAAGGATCCTCGTTTAATGACAGGACTGCTGGCTGTAGCAGTTCCCAGTGCAATGTCCTGTCCGTCCCCTGCCTCTCCTAGTCCCAAATCATTTCCCCGGGTTCCTCTGAAACCTGAGGAGAGTAAGGTTCCAGCTAAGGACCTGGATGAAAGAATGAAATCCTTTAATGAACAGTATGAGAAATGGTCTGGATCTGTCAAGATAGCAGGGCCAGGATCAGGAAGAGCAGATGCCTCGGGTCGGTTTAACATTGATCTAAGGCCGAACCAACCATCTGCAATTGTTCAGAAGCTGTTGTCTAGAAAATCTGTTCTAGATGACGATTCTAAACGTTTAGAAAACTTGACAGCAGAGAAAGTAGAATGTCCTGCTGAGGAGAAATCTGAAAACTCTCCCGGACAAAGTTTTGGTGTCACAGGTTTCAAATCAAGAGATCTTATGGTTCGGAAACCTAGTGGAGACAGTATAAACAGCTTAGATTCTCCATTACTTCCCCTGTCCACCCCTGTCACCCCTTTCTCTACTATTCCTCCTCTTCCCCGAGAAAATCTTTTAATTCCTATTGTCTCATCTGTGATGTCGCCTGTCCAGTCCCTGGCTTCGGTTCGAGTTTCAGCCCCAACCAAACCTCAGCCCTCACCCTTACCAAGTAGATCTCCTGCTCCGCAGTCCCCATCTACTCCTATCTCCCCGCGAAGTTTATCTCTATCCAGTCGTATATATTATCCCACTCCATCTATCCCAATACCAGGTCAAGTTAAAGGGTTGGATCTACCGATCAGGCCTACAGAGGATTTCTCCTCTAATAAACAATTAACTAGCAGACCCCTACCTCTACCCAACAAAGCAGGGACTGCAGCCACCTCAGCTACTGTCCCTATTAAACCTTTAGTTGATAAACTAGGCAAGCCAGCTGCCTTTACGAAACCTTCTGCTACAGTAACCCCTACGCTTAAATCTACAGGGACAACTACTTCTACAGCTCGGCCTAGTTTGTCTACTACAGCCTCCACCAAGACAGTTTCAACCTGCACCATGGTCTCATCCGCTAAACCTCCTTCTCATATTATCATCCCGTCTGTTGAGAAGGGAGAAGCAAGTTCAACCACCTGCTCTCCCAAACTGGATACGACTGTCCCTGCCAGCCAAACCGAACCTGTTTCTGTGGTACTGGAGACAGATTCTGATCCAAATGTAACATCAACAACAAAGGATCCGAGTATAGACGCCAAGAAAAAGTTGGACTCGGCAATTTCACGAGATCCAATCAAAATGATCAAAAGGGAACTAGATGGGTTCTCACACCGAGACAAAAAAGATCTGAAGGAAGAATTATTATTTGCACCAACTTTAATTCAAACCAAGCCTAAAATTGAGAAGCTGAGTAAGAAGTTTGACATCCTTGACACGATTGGAAAGGACGGAAAGAAGTATAAAGATTTGTGTTCAACCCTGAGTAAAGACAAACTTAAGTCCAACAAGGATTCCCAGAAACACAAGCAGAAACTTAAACATAAAAATGATCTGAAGGATTTTCTCAGTGCTACTGCTACCATCAGGAAAGAAACTAGCAAGAAAGATGAGAAGAAACCTCATGAAAAGGAAGAACCAAAAAAGGTCGAGGAATCTAAGGAAAAGAAACGACGACTAAGTTCTAACTCTGAGATAGAGGACGTGGAGCAACCCAAATCCAAACAGGCTAAACTTATCTCAGAGTCAGAAAATGAACCCGACTTCAAAAAGCAGAGATCCGATTCATCCAATAAGCTGTCAATGGGACGGATTCCTAAGCTAGAGAAATCGGAGAGGTCGGAGCACAGATCAGATCAAAAGAAGGATGAAATTAAGAAAGAGAATAAACACCGTCATTCCTCTTCTTCCACGTCCTCCAAATCTAAATCTAGACACGAGTCTGATAAACACCGGCATAAGGATAAGAAGGAGAGTAAGGACAAGGAAGGTGATAAAGACAAGTCAAAGAAGAAGAAAAGCAGTAAGAATGACGAAGAGAGGATCCGGAAACATGAGAAATCCAACTCGTTGTCTCTGTCAACAGATGATGAGAAGATGAAGCGTGAAAAAGAATTGAAGAGAAAGGATTCTGATAAAGAAAGAAGAAAGGATAGGAAAGATTCTGATAGAGACAAGGATCGAAAGGAAAGGGAACATAAAAAAGATTCCAAAGATAAGTTCCGGGAGAAAGACCGAGATAAAGAGAAGGAGCGGAGTAAAGATAAGGAGAAAGAACGAGAACGGAAAGAGCGGAAAAGGAAGAAAGAAGAGGAGGAGGAGAAGAGGAAAATAGAACATGTTAAAAGAATGAAAAGGCTTGAAAATGACAGTAGCACGGACGGGTCTGGAACCTCGGATGATTCTAAACCCAAGTTCAGTATTTTTGATGAACCTGTGTTCGACCCGAATAATCCTATTTACTTTTCAATGTATGACAAGGTAAGCTTTACATAAAGTTATATTAAAAATGTTAGAAATATACACTAAAGAAAGGGGAAATTGGATAAGTTCAAAAAAGATTTGTTGATCCCTAGATAATCTTGTAGATTTTTTATAGAGAATTTGTGATATCATAAAAAATAGTGCTTCGATGTTCTGAAAAGTATTGTCAACAATACTAATACAAAAGATATTCATTATTACCCTTTAAACTGCGATGTGAAAAGCGCCATATTTAGAATGGAACCGAAATTGGTTATTTTTGTTCATTTTATAGAAATCCATCAAGATTTTTTTAAAAATTAAAGCAGGTTCAAATGTAAATATCAAAAACTAATGTGAATTGATTGCCACTTCGAAATGAAGAAAATTATGTTTACAGTGCAGTCTTTATGAATATTTTTTCCAAAGGAATTGAGTCTTTGTCACAAACTCTGATTTTCTAATACCTATATCTTTTCAATTCAATTTCATAGACGTTAGATATTTCAAACTATAAATTCTGTTAGGTCAAATAGCCCAAGTTTGAAATATCAAGGTTTTCCACCATTAGGTTGCCAAGATATAATAAAAAAATTGAATTTGTGGCCAAAAACTCAATTCCTTTGTATCCTACGAATAGGACTTTCCGCCTTTATTTCAATATTTGAAGTATTCTACTACTTCTAAAATAAAATGTTTTTTGTCGCAGGTTAAAGCGCGAAGGTCCTGTGTAAAGGCCAGGGAGGAGGAGGAGGCTAGAAAACAACAGGAAGCCCTGGAAAAGTTTTCTAAGCTCAAGGCACAGAGAGCAAAGATTAGTGAGAAGACGAACCTTGCTTCTTCGGATGATTCTATGTCCGACTGTGGAAAGAAGATGTTGAACATATACGCGGAGAATGAGAGGGATCCAACTCACAATATGAAAAAGAAATCCTCTGCTTTGATTGTTTCCAGCTCCGAGAACGACGAGGATGAATTTAAACAGGAGAGACGAAGAAAGAAGAAAACTAGTTCGAGCTCGGAGAAAAAGAAATCTTTCTCCAAGAAATCTGTGATGGATTCCTCCGAAGACTCTGACGATGATTTAATGGACTCCATTAAAGCCAAAATCTCCAATGGATTTCAAAGAAGTAAACCTTCTTCTGCCATCTACAGTTCGGATGATGATAGTCCGGTCAAATCTCATAAAAAGACTAAAAATAATATTTATTCGGATTCTGAATCCAATACGGAGAGTAAGAATGAAACTATGGCCAAGAAATCTATCAAACCTATTTCACGTGATGATATGAAAATATCTACCAGGATATCTGATTCAGAGTCGGAGCCAGGTGAACCTAAAGCCAGTGCCTTGGCAGTTCTAGCTAAGAGTAAGAGAAAGAGTCCTGTAAAGGATTTGATGGAGATGAAAAAGACAACTAAACCTCTCATTAAATTAGAACGCTTGTCATCCGAGTCGGAGACTGAAAGAAAACCTAGTCTTGGCTCTGACCTGAATATCAAACATGAAATCAAGTCTGAAATTAAAACTGAGCCTTTCTTTAACGTGAAATCTGAGCATGATAAGACCGCAAAAAAGAAATCTTTCAAGAAGGAGAAAAAGAGAGACAAGGATTCCAAAGAAAAGGATAAATCAGTTTTGGGACAGAAAATGGCTAAAATCTTCGGCACTTCTTCCGAGGACGAAAGTTTTGGACGAAACAGCAAACCTCCAACTCCAAATACAAGTTTAAGTAAACAGGTTCCTCCTTCATCGAAGCCTGTTGTTGCTCAGCTAAGTGTGGATAAAGTTTTCTCCGCTGTTGACAAGAATAAAATGTTAAATTCTCCAGCTCTCATGTCAGACTCAGATGATGACGTGCATAGTAGGCCTCCAACTCCTACCTTCCAAACTAAGAAAGTTGAGGACACGAAATCTAATTTAGCAGGAATTATCCAGCCGACAGCAGAGGATTTACCAAGCAGCTTGTCAAGCATCAAATCCCAGGATAGTAAACCGAAGGAGGCGGCTTCAAGGAATTTATTTGATTCTAGTGAGGACGAATGCATCCAAATAGATCCTGAGGTTGGGATTAAGAAGGATCTAGAGAGGAGTAGGCGCCTGTCATCTCATGAAAGGCAGAAACAAGCAGAAAATTTATTTGATAGTTTACTAACAGTGAATGTAGATTTGCCTGCCAAAATGTCCCGGAAATCCCCAGGGGGATTAAAATCCCCGGCTAGTGCAAAATCCCCAGGAATCAAATCCGGAAAACTAATCGAACCACAAAAATCTCCAGGAAGCCATCGTTCTCCTCTTCTGTCTCCTGGTGGTAAACCAACCTATCTTCTAGCTCACACCTTTAACAAGATGGCAAACAAGGAGGCAGAGAAGAGACATAAGGAACAAGAGACCAAGACGAACAGGTTGAAGGTTGTGGAGAAAAAGGAAGTTCCTAAACCTAGAGTTGAATCTTTAGCTACTGGTTCATCCTTGAAACCAATACTTAAGACTGGAGATGAACCTGCGGTACTTGCGAAGAGTCCAGGTGTAGAGGCAGGAGAAGAGAAGGTGAAATCAAAACCTAAGATTGAATCAGTTCCCTCAGAATCAAACGATTGTCAGATTCTTTCTCAAGAAATGGACAAGTCATCTAGCTCTTCTTTGGAACTTAAATCTACGTCTGAGATGAAGTATGAGGAAAAAACGCCCAGTGAGAACAAAACAAAGGTGTCTACAGAGAATAATTCATCTTTGTCAGAATCTGATGAAAAAGTTGTATCTGAAAGTGCATCACCACAAAAGAAAGACAAGAGTCGGAATACAAGTGATGAGTTGATGATGTTTAATAGTTCTGCTGAGTCTGGATATAATATATTCGCTCAGGGTAACCTCGATGCCGCCAGTTCTCCGAGCCCAGCATCAGATTACGAGGAAGGAAGATTGGTTATTGGAGACGGAGATGATAACAGTGATAATGATGTTGTCCAAGTTGAACCAACTAAACTATCCAGAGAGGATTCACATGAGGATGAACCTGAGATCATAGAAGAGCACATCAATACTTCTCATGGATCTATAAATCTAGAAAATAAAATTCCTAAAACCCAAGAACCCTCAAGAGAGGAGCAGCTGGAGAAATCTATCGCCAGCATCACCAGTGAGATGGAAACCAGTGATACATCTATCAATGCTGAGCTTGCTCCTGCTACGGAGGTTGCCGAGGTTAAACAGTTTGAAGTTGCTCTGGAGAACCCGGTTGTTGAGGTCGAGCCTCCTGTCAAGAGAACCGTGATATCGCAGGAGGAAACTGAGAGTGCAGTCAATGCACTGCTTGGAGAATCATTTGATTCATTTGACACCGAGGAGCAAGCGTTGAATCAGGTTGAGAATGTCGAGGTTGAACAGTCTGCTGGAGTCCCTGTAGATGATGAGGCTGCTGCAGCTGTTGCTGGTCTAGGGATAGAGATGACTCCTGATGAACAGATTCCAGCTAATATTTCTCCTCAAAGAACTTGGACCCGAGTAGAAACTTCCAAGACAGTGCAGCAAACAAAACCTCCTGCAGCTTTAATAATCCCAGCTGAACCATCACCTCCTGAAGAGAAACCTTTGTTATCTCCTGAAAAACCTATAGATGAAGATGTTTCTGTTGAAGAAAAGACGGAGATAGTTGAAACTAAATCAGAAGAAGAGATCTCAGTTCCCGAAGAACACACTTATCGCGGTAGAGGCAGAGGACGTGGCGCACAGAAAAGAGGACGTGGAGCTACATTATTAACAACTCCAACTACTCCACTTTCACGGGGTCGAGGACGCGGAGCAAGGTCTGTCCGTGGTCAGGTTTCACTTGGTGCGGATATCATTGAACCAATTGTTGAACCTGAAACCGTAGAATCAGCCAGTACTCCCCGTGGTAGAGGCCGCGGTCGGGTAGCTCGTGGTGTTGGAAGAGGATTGAAAAGGTTTTCTACAGCTCTGATTAATGACGACAAATCCCATGATGTGTTTGAGTTCCAGGACGAAGATGAAGAGCCTGGCAAGGTTCAAGAATCAGTGAAACCAGTGGTCACCCAATCAGTAGAGAAGAAGGAGGAAGAGGTTGAACCAGAAGTTACTCGGCCTGGTCCTGGAAGAGGAAGAGGACGAGGAGGTAGGGTTTCTGTTGCTCCTCAGCAGATCAGTCCTAAACCTGTGGCTGCTCCTACTCCTACTCCAGTAACAACTCCAATTTCCATCAGTATAACACAATCTAGTCCAGCTGCTCATGCTCAACCCTTAATACAAACCATGTCTCCAATGCAGTCTTCTCCAACAGTTACTACTAGGCTTTCCACGGAGGAGAAACTATCTCCTTCTCTTAGTCCTGGAGCAGGAAGAACTGTTAGAATGAGAAGATCAACTGGTGGTAAGTCTAGAGAAAGTGAAGAAGAGTCTGCAGATACTGATCATAAGATCAAGCTGATCCTAGAGCAGGCCAAGCAGGAGGCTGCACAACAGGCCGCTGCAGTCCTAGTCTCTATGCCTGGTTTTGCTTTCCAGGGTGGAATACCTATCACTGCTGTGACTACTCAAGCTGCCCTGTTATCCCCTCAGAGTGCGCTTCAGGCTGCTGCTCCTCCCCCAGTTCAAGATCCTCGTAGTTCTGTTATGTCCTTTTCTAACATTAGAACTGGAATACCTCAACCAACAGTACTACCACCTAGACACGATCAGCTTGTTCGACCACCAGTCATGGTTCCTCCATCTCGTGCTCCGGCAGTTGTTCCTGCAGTCATGCAAACTCCTAGAGCTCCTCTTCCTATTCAACTACCCACACAACCTTTACCACCAGAGAGTGTGAGGAAAACTCAACCTGTGTTACTGGAACAGAATCCATCTTCTCCAGCTGTTCCTCAAGTTGGAAGCATCCCTCGAACAACTATCTCGGTTTCTCTGCCAACTGAACCTGTTCCGAGATCTGTTGCAATGTCCACTGGAAGCCCAGTCTCCACTAATATTCCGAGGATGTCTTTGGCCAGTATTGTCACCAGTATGTCGAGGATGCCACTAACAAACCCTGGATCAAATATGCCACGCATGCCGAGCTCAAGTTCTATTATGAGCATGACTAGGATGCCTGCATCCAGTTCTATTTTAGTGAATGCTCGTGCTCCAGTTCCTATGGTTGTGAGCAGTCAACTTAATATGGTTCGACATCCTGGTCCTCCAGTATCCAGGTCCATGGTTTCCGTAACAAGAACTACTCCATCAATAGAGGGACAGAGAGTATCCTTGAAACAGAGAGAAGGTACCAAGGATCCAGAGCTAGATCAGAAATTGGCTCTGGAAGCATTACTGAGTCAGCATGCTCCACTAAAGAGAGAATATCTTCAACCTAGGGAACAAGAAGGACTCCGTCCTTCCAGCACTCCTCTCTCCTCCCATTCAGAACCTCAACACCCGAAGGAGGATGATAAACAAGCATATTCAGCACAGCATCAGCAGTTCAACGCTCAGACCCTAGAGCTTCTCAAGTTCCAGAACTACAGAGATCTAACAATCCTGTATAATCAGCTTGTCAATGCTGGTCATCCTGAACCTGTTGCAATTCAGTATGCTCAAACATTGCTTAGAGAAAGGATTATGGAAGACTCGCGACCAGGTTCAGTTCCTCCAATGCCTCATCTCCATCATATTGAAGAGGAGAGAAGAGAACCTGTTCGTCAACCTCTTCCTGCCCATAGCTCTGGTCCGTATAGACAGACTGAATCTCCTATTTTCCATCATTTGCCCCCAGCGCATACCGGAAGTCAGCATCCGTACCTAGCTCGTGATACAGTGGGCCCTCCTAGTGCACACATGGATCCATACCGTAGAGAGGAGTTAGTTCCTCCTGCAGCTCATAGTAGTCAGATAACTAGGTTAACCCACTCATCAGCGGTAACAGATTTCTCCACCAAGACCTTAAATCCAGCGTTGCTACAACCTCAGCCTCCACCAAGTATGTATTCCGACTCCACCGCTCTCACCAACTACAGAATGCCACACCTGGCAGCCTATCCTATCTGCTGGTCAGGGATACTAGGCCTTAAGAACGATATGGCAAATGTACAAATGCATTATGTGAGTGGGTGTCGAGATCTTGCAAGTGCATATCTACCCAACCATGGATCTACGCTCAAGATCGTGCAGAGAATGAGGTTAGAGGACGCTCAGATAGACGGAGTTAAGAAGAAGATGGATACTAAATCTGAGCATTGTTTACTTCTGGCTCTACCTCATGGAACAGACCAGGATCAGATAGAGAAGCAGTCCAAGATCCTGAGGAACAACTTCATAACCTACCTCCAGCTGAAGTCTGCTGCTGGAATCGTTAATGTTGTGAATAATGAGAACCAACCTGCTATTGTTCATGTTTTCCCCAGCTGTGATTTTGCGAACGAGAACCTAGCAAGGTAACGTTTAATTCATTTAAATTTTTAAATTGAAATTTTATGTAACCAACATTTATCTTGTTTCTTATATCAAAATTAATATTTTTTTATTTAGGATTGCGCCCAACCTTCTGCATCGAGTTGCTGATATTGAACATCTTGTAATCGTCATTGCTACCGTCTTCAATGATGTCAACAAGTAATATGTCGTCGCCCTCATCACCAAAGTGAACAAGTGAACCCTTTGTCACCGATGTGAGGAAGTGTACCTCTTGTCATCGATGTCACCATGTTCTACTCATGTTCAAATGTTTTATTGTTCCTCTCAATTTCTAAAGAAACCTTGTTAAATGTTTAAATGTTGAAAATTTATGAATGCGTGGATGGATGAACACTTCATTTTTTGAATACATCCTTTAGCAAATAACCAAGAAAACGAAACTTGCCACTTATAAAATAATTGATTTCAGTCTGTTTGACAAACCTGAGCATGAAGGAAGATAGACCACATGCGATCCTTTCAATTTTAAACACTTGAACAATCTGTTTATTCTCAAGGGGGCTCTTGATACTATAAACTGGTTGGATCAACGTTTTAACCCTAGTCCTCCCCTCCTCACATAGACATTGTAAACTGTATTTTCCTTTTTGTATACTACGGGGGGACTGGATACTGGATAGAGATGAGAAAATTTTATGTAACCTTTCCTTTTTCGTGGTTTTACTTTGAAAACTGTTAATTGGCTGGATATTTAGATACATATATATGAGACAGATGGAATTGTTAGGTGTAGAGGGAACACACTAGTATTCATTGTTATATCTTCATGCCAAATATATTATTTATAATTGTAAATTTTTTTAATTTTTTTGTTAATCCTATTTTTTGTTCGGATCTATTTTATCATTAGAGCTCCTATACTGAGCCAGAGAAGGTTGTTTATGGATAATTAGAGAAGAGGAGAAATAAAGAAGTTTGCGTAGGAAGAATTAAAGTAAGTCTGTAGAGAGAATTTGAGAAGGTTGTGTAAGGAACAAAAGAAGGTTGGGTAGGGAGAACAAGAGAAGGCTGGGCAGGAAGAAATAAAGAAAGTCTGAAGGGAGAACTAGGGAAGGTTGTGTAGGGAGAACTAGAGAAGGTTGTGTAGGGAGAACTAGGGAAGGTTGATGAGGGAGAATTAAGGAAGGTTGTGAAGGGAGAATTAAGGAAATTTGTATAGGGAGAACTAAGGAAGTTTGTATAGGGAGAACTAAGGAAGTTTGTGAAGGGAGAACTAAGGAAGTTTGTGAAGGGAGAACTAAGGAAGTTTGTGTAGGGAGAACTAAGAAAGTTTGTGAAGGGACAACTAAGGAAGTTTGTGTAGGGAGAACTAGAGAAGGTTGTGTAGGGAGAACTAGGGAAGGTTGGGTAGGGAGAACTAGGGAAGGTTGTGTAAGGAACAAAAGAAGGTTGGGTAGGGAGAACAAGAGAAGGCTGGGCAGGAAGAAATAAAGAAAGTCTGAAGGGAGAACTAGGGAAGGTTGTGTAGGGAGAACTAGAGAAGGTTGTGTAGGGAGAACTAGGGAAGGTTGATGAGGGAGAACTAAGGAATTTTGTGTAGGGAGAACTAGAGAAGGTTGTGTAGGGAGAACTAGGGAAGGTTGTGAAGGGAGAACTAAGGAAGTTTGTGTAGGGAGAACTAGAGAAGGTTGTGTAGGGAGAACTAGAGAAGGTTGTGTAGGGAGAACTAAGGAAGATTGTGAAGGGAGAACTAAGGAAGGTTGTGTAGGGAGAACTAGGAAAGGTTGTGTTGGGAGAACTAAGGAAGGTTGTGAAGGGACAACTAAGGAAGTTTGTGTAGGGAGAACTAAGGAAGGTTGTGAAGGGACAGCTAAGGAAGTTTGTGTAGGGAGAACTAGAGAACGTTGTGTAGGGAGAACTAGGGAAGGTTGGGTAGGGAGAACTAGGGAAGGTTGTGTAAGGAGAACTAGACGAGGTTGTGTAAGGAGAACTAGGAAAGGTTGTGTAGGGAATGTTGGGTAGAGTAAATTAGGGAAGGTCGGGTCGGGTAAGGAGAATTATAGAACTCCGTTGGACAAGTTAGAGCAGTTAAGGTAAACCCCAAATTTGAAATAAAAACTCGAAGACGACATTTTAGTTTATAACCAAACTTATATCCCTGTTTTACTTGACATTTGAAAAACATTTGAACATAAATTCCAAAAAAATAAATAGGTCCCACCCTTTCATGACCGTACTAGTCGTAATCCAAACAAGTTGTTTAACCATTCGATATTCTTCTAAATATCGTCTTCCCTTATTTTCTTATTTTCTCCTTGCTATTATTGATACATCAAACCCTTACTTTCATCGGTCAGATATATCCAAAGTGATTATACTTTAACATTGTGGGGCAACAGTTGAGAAGGGGAACAGTCAGCGACATTTATTCATTTTAAAACATATTAATCTTTGAAATTATTGACAATAGCTCCGGAATTTTCCAAATGTGCCTTTTCTGCAGTAGACATATATTAGAATTTAATGTAGATTACATTTATTGGTCAAAATCTGATGTCATTAGACAGTCATCAAAAATCTTCACTTGTCTTTTACTTAACCAAGTGTGACGCCCATTTTAAAATGTGCACTATTATTAAATGTCTGTTTCTATTTCTAATAAAATACAGTTTTTTAATGTTTCCCTACATGATTTTATATAATGTGAAAATGAATTTTTAATAAAGGAATTTATATTTTTCATTGGTATTATATAGGAAACATAACCAACTTCAACATTAAACAGGAAGAACAGGAAGGTCGTCGTGGTAGATGACTCACGGAACCCCCTCCCTATCCCAGGTCTTAGCTGTGTGCGTTGCAATTATTAAATATAAAACACTGGACTAATTTTATATAATGTGAAAATGAATTTTTAATAAAGGAATTTATATTTTTCATTGGTATTATATAGGAAACATAACCAACTTCAACATTAAACAGGAAGAACAGGAAGGTCGTCGTGGTAGATGACTCACGGAACCCCCTCCCTATCCCAGGTCTTAGCTGTGTGCGTTGCAATTATTAAATATAAAACACTGGACTATTAGAGCGCTTCGAGTTCGCGACCATCTACTTTAAATTCTAATTGTGGTTCTATCTGCGAGCATCTTCTCTTTGTACAATATAAAACAATGACAAACAAATAGGATCGCGGATTTAATAATATTTTTCGCGCATTTTTTTTATTTTACAAAAATCAAAAACTGAATTGACACAAATGTTTGCAATTTTAAGCATCCATAAACCTTCCTTGGGGTCATGTGAGGTTCCACACAAAATGATGGCCCGATCGGTTCTGCCGTTTGGACAAACAAAATATATATACTAAGCTTTTAGGAAGCTTCGCGCCCATCTTCTTTTCTTAATTTTCAGTGTGGCTCTATCTGAAAGCATCTTCTCTTTCAGAATAAAACATCAAAAAAAGTTTGTAAATTTTCAATTATTTTTTCATGCATTTTTAAAATTTTACAAAAATAATAAGCATTTGGATTCAACTTTTTGTAATTTTGAGCATCCATAACCTTCCCTGGGTCGTGCGAGGTCCCACACAAAATTTTGGTCCGATCAGTTCAGCCGTTTGGACGTTTTTTGGATACAAACAGACAGATCAGATGAAGAATTCCTCAACAGGTTTTTTAAGAATTTCTTGTGTCGTAGTTGTCTAAAACTTGTTTTGTGCTTTCGCAAGCGTCATGATACTGTTTCGCAAATTATGGTGGCGTTTACTTTTGAAGTATGAAAAATTGCCAGAATTAATTAAGCAAAAAAATCACCGCAACAATCTCTTCATCACCATTTATATATTTAAAACCCAGTTATCTGTGGAAAAGGGAGACGACTTTAAACCAATATTCAGGTACATTTTGCTCAAGTTGTTTCTGGTTCTTAAAGTATATATTTTAATGAAGAGAATTTAGAGTAGGTCAATAGCTCTGGAAAGGAAAGATAATGCAAACTAATCTGTCACTATCAAAACTTTTTAATTGAATAATGGAAACAATCTTCTCTAAATCTTAATCTTCATTGTTTTCATCATTATATTATTTATATTTCTCTTTATTCACTTTTCTACTCCTTGTCTTTATTGTTTTTTTTTCTCCTCTTTATTTCTTCTGGTTCCTTATTAAGGCTCGGAGAAGAATTCACCTTTCTGCAATTTTTGTTTAGGATTATTCCTAAAGTCTCGTACCTGCTTCCTGGTGTACCTGGAGTAACAAATATACAGTTGTCGTCAAAATAAAAAGAAGATAAAAACGACATGAAACCAATCAAAAATAATAAATGTCCAAATGCTGATTTCTTTCTGCTGAATAAAATTTCAAATTTAAAACTTACACTGGACAAGGCTTTCTGAACATTTGCTCATTAGATCGAATCCATTTGTTAGTAATCCACTTGGATCCGATCATAACAGGACAGCCGCCATGTTTAACCAGCTGATCATATCCCCCGGATTTATCCATATTCCACCAGAGCACAACACTGCCGCGTCGAGGTTTCACGATAGCTCCGACAGCGGGAAACACTGTGTACCCACCTATGTACATTGTACAATGTACATATAATAATAGCTATAGATTAGGCATAAGCACAGTGAAGATTTTTAAATCCAGTTTAGAAAAAGGCAACAAAGATTAAGGATATTATTTTAGCCTTGAAATTGATAATTTTTTATGGAAAAAAAGATTTGATGGAATATATTCTTTATTTCTTATTGTAAAATTTTTTAGACTACTGGAAAAAAATTAAGGACATTTTTATCAAAATCTGCCAAAATTACAATATCTGAGAAATATTGTGTGCAATTCAGTAGTATATTGAATGCCCAAAATGAACCTGATTCAACATCTGAGAGGTATCCCATGATAGTTACCATCCTGTCTCCAACTGCCATGTTGAAAACGTCCCGGTTCTGTATACTTGATTTATCCATCAAAACCTACATAATAGAATATAGATATATAGATAGATACCGGCTAGGGAAAGATGAAGTTAATGAAGTTAATAATAAACGCCAAAACGGCTGAACCTTTCCGGCCCAATTTTATTGTAGTTACTCACACTACCCCAGGAAACAATTCCCCCCCCCCCCCAAATAACTTAATTTTTTTAATCCGCCAAGACAGCAAAATCACTAAAGATTTTCATTGTTACTTTTTACAGTGTAGAAAAGCATACATGGGTAGATCCAAAATCTAAGACTATTACCAGAAAGGTGGGAGCGATGGGTTACCCACAAAGGATAAGACTTCAGAGACGAATGTACGCAATCTATATTGTCTTTTTTTCTTACATTTATGGTGTTCTGCAACTCTAAACTTCTTTCTTTCTTTGCGAGATGAAAAAGGCCATAAAAAACTGTTTTCAAGGCAGAAGATTTAATTTAACCTTTAAAGAGTTTAAGGTCGTCTTTGCAGTCTCATCCTGTCATCAGCACTAACTCTTAAAAATTAAATAAACCTTTCTTACACTAAAGAATAAACGAACCAGCTGACCCCATCTCCGTTATTTGATTATTCTGGAAATTAGGCAATTTTCTCCTACTCATGTTTATTACGAATCCTAAGTATTGTTATTTCTGTAATATATCAGAGTCGAGAGAACAACAATACCAAAAGAAAGTTTCTGTAAAGTGAGGGTTTCTTTTTTCTATAATATACATATTTCATATTTACACTTTTTAAACCAGAACAGCCAAAATTCTCTGCTAAACCTGTTTTTGAAATTGATTTAAATGAATTAGAATTCCTATTCTCTTCGGATTTACAGGATTAAAACAAAAACAATCTATCCTAATTATAAAAACCTTTATTTACATTGTATAATAAACTTTGATTAAGAATTTTTCTTTCTCTCAAAGATAATTAATTAATAATACTCATTAGTTTCAAAAGAAGGTGATCAGAGTTTAAACAAAATATGCTTTGTTCGTGAAAGATAGGAGGGTGAGGGACGATGGGGGGGGGGGGTTGCGGGTAGGCCAATATTAGGTTAATCAGAAATTCAGGATACCATAATAATCTAATCCATTTTCTCCCCAACTCCTATCAATACTGGAGATATGCTGATTTCTTGGTATCGGACTTTTCCTCCCCCACCCCTTTCCTTTTTCACCCCCCCCGGTACTTTACCCTCTACTCCACCCCTATCACCTTCCCCTTTCCTTCTTCACCCCCTACCACCTTTTACTCTTTCTCCCACCCACTGTTCGCCTTCCTTTATACTTTCTTACCTCCAATTTGTATCTCCTGTCCTTTTCCTAACTTCCTTCTCCCCTTCCCTCTAACCTTCCCTACTCCCTCCCACCCCTTATCCTTCTCCCAACTAGTTTTTGTAATTAAAACTGTGGCAAATGGAACATATTGAACTAATGTATCCAATCTTTTCTCCATAAACCAAACAACAGAAAATTGTCTCTCCCTATTTTCTCATTAATGTAATTTATTGCCATCTAAAGTATAAAAAATAAACATATTTTGCCGATATCCACTAAATATATGTATATTTCATTGGTTCTAAATATATATACATCTCTGTTTGTTTGTTTGTATACGATCATAAACCATGAACCCCTGGACCGATTTGCCTTAAATTTTGATTGTTGAACTCGTAAATAGCACGGGAGAGAAGTTATTAGCTGTCTTAACATTCGGAAAGTAAGTTCCGTTTTTACGTTAGCATATTTGCTTATGTGATGTCTAGTAATTCGATTTAAAAGTAGTAGAAAGCATGATTTTATTATTTGGAACGTGTTGAAGACTTAGTTTTGAAAGAAGGAACGGAACGTCTTTTTTTCGATTCCTGATGGAAAGAAATATAGAGAAAATTCTTTCAATATCCTTCATAAAACAGCAGCGTCAGTTTTAACTCATATTTGGATGTTTTGAAGATTTTGATTTTTTGACTTTTTAAGGGGGCTTCGTTTCTTTCAAATAGTGAACATTTGGAACCATTATAACTAGCTTCAAATTAAAAAAAAACCGCCTAAAGCAAGACGTTTTCCGTTTATATTTTTTGCTAAGGCTTTTTGAAAAGAATGGCTGACTCCACTGTACCTTGTGTACTGTACTGTTTAGTGCTTACCCTAATGTACCTAGTGTACTATACTGCTTACCTTACTGTATCTAGTGTACTGTACTGCTTACCCTCCTGTATCTAGTGTACTATACTGTTTACTCTACTGTACATATAGTGTACTGTACTTCTTATCCTACTGTACCTAAAGTGTACTGTGCTGCTTACCCTACTGTAGCTGTTTACTGTATTGCTTACCCTTCTGTACCTATAGTGTACTTTACTGCTATCTTAATGTACCTTTATTATAGTGCACTGCTTACCCTGCTGTACATTTAGTGCACCGTACATGCTTACCGCGTCAAAATGATGAATGTACTGTCCCGCCAGACCGTAGTTTACAACTTGGTACAACTCAGAGCTAACTGCAGATGTACCATTCAGGTTCAGAAATCCAGAGATTCTAAATATTATAAACGTTTTAAAATTTTTACATGAAACGTACATACAAACAATTTTTTTAAATAGGCTTTTAGTGATGACTTTGGATGGGTTATTTTGAAAGGTATAAAGGTTTTTGACTTTCAAGAGTTTTCGCAAAAATATTATTTATATTATCATTATAATTATTATAATATCATATATATCTCAAAATTATATTCTCTAAAAGTTTGCTTTCGTTTCATTATTCCAATTTGTTACTTTAACAGAATATAAAAGTGAATATCATCTTTTTGTACTTTGCACTTATAGGTATTAGGCATTTTTCATTAAATTTCCAGAGCACTAAAGTCTCCTTTTTCTAAGCATAAACTTGACATTTTGTATTATTACTAAATTTTGGACATTTTATTGTGAAAACCATTAAACACTACAAAATGTCTCAGACTTTTTCATTTTTTATAAAATTTCCAAAATTATGAGAAAGGGAAATTTTAATGGGAGGTTATTTGGAATGAGTTGGTTATTTTAACTACCAAGGAAACAGAAAAGAAAATAAGGAATTAAAAATATATTTTTTCGTTTATTTAGGTTTGACAAATATCAACATTGAGATGGCATTTACCTGTCCGTCATTATACCCAGAGAAAGAGAATTAGTTTCATTCAACCAAGCAGTTTCACTCACTCGGTTATCATTGATAGATCCATTGATCCCAGTTCCCACCATTTCAGATCTTCGGAGTAAAGGAGTTGCAGTTTTAATAATGTCCTTGATCTCAGCATCATGGATAAAATCATGAATGATAACAATATAGGGGCTCAATGATACTATTTCTACCTTGAGCGGACCTATCTTATAGGTTGGGTTGTATCCAGTAGAGTACTTACAATACAGTTTACTGGTTACATTTACAGACCGGAGCTCAACCCCTCTACACATCATCATGTATTGATACATCTCCTGATCTGAAGATATAAAAGGGTTTCCGAGTTCTATATTTTTCTCTCGCTGATCTATTTTCTTTTGAAACTTCTTCTTCTTCCGGAGTTTCTTGCTGTATGGGTGAGAATTGGTACTGTGTACATCTGTTCTATCCCCCCAAACATCTAGTTTCTGATCATGAACTGTCTTGGCTGTCTTTATCAGGTTCTTTAACACCTGGATATTGACATTTAATATATATTTTAGATTAAACTTTTCAAACTTGGTCTGCAGTTTAGACTTAAAAAGTTATATTTAGAGGGGCTTATTAGAATTAGAAAACAAACAAAATTTAAACTGAAAAAAAAATTATGTTAATAGAAATATTATGGATAGAGTGTTAAGGGTAGACCTGAATATCCAGCTTTTCCACAAACACCGGAGTAGTTACTCCGTCCACGTTAGCCTTAGCTAGTGCCTCCTCGAGAATATTTATCCCAGAACCCAGGATCAATCCATTTGTTCCCTTTACTCCTGAACAAAACTAACAGTCAAACATTTATCTTAATGAAATAATTCTCTCCATTTATTTGATAGAAAGAATCAAGTTTCAACCTTATGATATAAACCTTTAAGATATTATAAACGTTAACTGTTTCATTTAATCCGTTTAATTGATTGAGAGTTTTGGGTCATTGTATATGTTTTCCACATTATTGTCTGCACAAAACTCTCTACAGTGGGTCTTAGTAATCATGGAAAATAAACAATTTCTTTCTTTAAGTCCATTGCGCATTTTTAAATAAACGTTGCGGGAGCGGAGGAATGCCAACCACAACAATTTCTCGTCCGAGCCACATTCTCCTCATTTTCTCGTCAGAGCCACCTCGAAATCCTCGTCCTTTCAATATTATTTTTTTAAAGTGTCTAATCCTTCCATATAAAACTATTTTTTAAGAATCAAGCCACGTTAGGGCATAAATGAAATATCAAATACTTGTAAATCGAAAAAAAAGTTTCAATTGAATTAAAGATGTCAAGTTTAATGTCTTTAAAAAGGTTCACCTTTTTTACGAGCATTTTCAGATATTCCTGGTGTACGTAAAATGCCGCAAATAATTCCAAGTTTATAGAACTTCAATCTTTTTCGTTAACTAGAGTGAAAACCATAGAATTTTTCCGGGTGGTTCCATGGGGAAAATTATAGGCAGAGGTATGCCGAATATTTTGCTATTTATCTTATATCACAAAGGTTAGCCATTACGGAGGCAGAAGAGATTGAAGTTTAACCTAAATAAAGTTTGACATTATTCTCATGGGTTTGAAGATTCCAACATGATATAATCATTGCAATACTCTAGTCCATCCATATTTTATGCCCTAATTTGTGGCCAGATTTTAAAACATCGGTTTATCTTCAAGAATTGGAAACTTTTTAACATAAAATAATCAAAGGACAATGATTCCAAGGTGGCTTGGACGAGAAAATGAGGAGAATGTGGCTCGGACGAGAAATTGTTGTGGCTGGCCTTCCTCCCCTCGTTGCGGCATTGGCACTTTCAAACGACACATACCGGCTATGTTAGTCGCCGGTACGCGTCAGGGCTGATTCTATACTAACTGTTCTGTGGTTCCACAGATTATATAGTCGTTGTCGTTTATAGTAATACAATGAAGACTAATTTCGATTTCAATTTTGTTTTCTACAAAGCTTTTAAACAGAATAATTACGCATAATCATGGAAATAAAGTAAAGATTTCAAATAACAGCTTCTCTTGCTTCTCTTTGTTTACTTGTAAGCTTTTAATTTGAAAAAAGCTTGTTAACAATCAGAAAATAGAAATTGAATAAGAAATTGTTAAAACTCTGACCACTGTAGGAAAAAAATTTTTGAGGTAAGTGCATAATTAGTTCCTAATCTAATTAGTTTCTAATCTTATTAGTTCCTAATCTCATTAGTCCTTAATCTCATCAGTTCCTAATCTCATTAGTTCCAAGTCTCATTAGCTCCTAATCTCATTAGTCCCTAATCTCCTAAGTTCCTAATCTTATTAGTTCCTAATCTCATTAATACCTAATCTCATTAGTTCCAAATCTCATTAGTTCCTAATATCATTAGTTCCAAATCTTATTATCTCCTGATCTCATTAGTCCCTAATATCATTAGTTCCTAATCTAATTAGTCCCTAATCTCATCAGTTCCTAATCTCATTAGTTCCTGATCTTATTAGTCCCTAATAAGTTTAGCTCCTAATCTCATTAGTTCCAAATCTCATTAGCTCCTAATCTAATTAATCCCTAATCTTATTAGTTCCTAATCTAATTAGTCTCTTATCTCATTAGTACCTAATCTCATTAGTTCCTAATCTAATTAGTCCCTAATCTTTTTAGTTCACAATCTCATTAGTTCCAAATTCATTATTTCTTAATCTCATTAGTTCCTAATCTTATTAGTCTCTAATCTTATTAGTTCATAATCTCATTAAATCTTAATCTCATTAGTTCCAAATCTCATTAGTTCCTAATCTCATTAGTTCCAAATCTCATTAGTCCCTAATCCCTGTGAGATCTTCTGTTTACCTATCTTGAAAGCATCCCAAACTGTAAGATCTCCTGTTTACCTATCTTGAAAGCATCCCAAACTGTGAGATCTCCTGAAGTTTCATGACGAACTCCGTCCAGGACAAAAGAACCTTCATTCACAAACTCCGTGAGGTTGAATCTGTAGTAGTCGTGCAGTCTAAACAAATATAAAAGTAAAATCAAATGTTTATTCTTTTCCAGCATTTTCTCTGGTTTCCCCTTGTTTTCAGAGTTGTGACCAAAATACATTATTTATCAATGATTTCCAAAAGAAATAGAAAAGACAATTTTGAAAATTATCTTTCTCAATTTTATCAATAGCTTTATACAGGGTTGGTGGTTCGGTTGTCACCTATTTCAAACTTTAGTTTGATGGAAAACAATATTCTCAACTATCAAATTATTCTGGTATATGTTTACGTGGGGTTACCCACAAAAGATAAGTCTTCAGAGACGACTGTACGGAGTGACAGGAGCCAAAGGATCTACCTGACGGGAGCTGAATGATTTACCTGACAGGAACTGAAGGATCTACCTGACAGGAGCTGAAGAATTTTACCTGACAGAAGCTGAAGAATCTACCTGACAGAAGCTGAAGGATCTACCTGAGAGAAGCTGAAGGATCTACCTGACAGAAGCTGAAGGATCTACCTGACAGAAGCTGAAGGATCTACCTGACAGAAGCTGAAGAATCTTCCTGACAGAAGCTGAAGGATATACCTGACAGAAGTTGAAGGATTTACCTGACAGGAGCTGAAGGATCTACCTGACAGGAGCTGAAGGATCTACCTGACAGGAGCAAAAGGATCTACCTGACATGATCTGAAGGATCTACCTGACATGAGCTGAAGGATCTACCTGACAGGAGCTGAAGGATCTACCTGACAGCAGTTGAAGGATCTACCTGACAGGAACTGAAGGATCTACCTGACAGGAGCTGAAGGAGTTTACCTGACAGGAGCTGAAGAATCTACCTGACAGGAGCTGAAGGATCTACCTGACAGCAGTTGAAGGATCTACCTGACAGAAACTGAAGGATCTACCTGAGAGAAACTGAAGGATCTACCTGACAGAAGCCGAAGGATCTACCTGACAATTCCTCTGGCTACTCCATCTACATCAGTCTCATCAGGAACATGAGATTTATCTCTTCTACTTAGAACCTTCTGTAAACGTTTTCCCAGGGTTCCTCCTCTTTTATTCTTCTCCTCCTCCACGGCTTCTTCAACTACTGCCCAACCTATAGCAACATGCCGGAGAAGGTTGTATGCGTTCAATGGGTTTCTTACAATAGATACATCTTCCTCCTGAAATATATGAAATGATTATATACTAAACCAAACATTCAGATGAAAAATTGCATTTTATAAAAAGAAAACATTCTTATTCTAGCATTATTTTAATCATAATTTAATCTTCTCGACCTTATTTTAACCCTCTTTTCCTGCCCTAATCATGTCCTGAAGTAAATAACCAACCTGTTCTCCAATTAAATCTTCGAAGCTCTGAATATACGCAGCGATCTTATCTTTCCCTTCTGGAGAAATCAACTTCTTATCATAGATAGCTCTATACAGAATCAGGTTAGATCAATTTAAACCTTCTGACCCGACGCTCAAATAATCAATTATTCAAGATAACTACGTCATTAAATTTTACTCCTTGTTAAAACTTTACCTTTTCCTTCATACTTTACCCCTCCCTGATATTTGACCCACCCTAATACTTTACCCCTTCCTGATACTTTACCCCTCCCTGATACTTTACCCCTCCCTGATCCTTTACCCCTCCCTGATACTTTACCCCTTCCTGATACTTTACCCCTTCCTGATACTTTACCCCTCCCTGATACTTTACCCCTCCCTGATATTTACCCCTCCTTGCTATTTACCCCTCCCTGATACTTAACCCTTCTTTATAATTTACGCTTCCTTGCTACTTTAACCCTCCCTGATATTTACTCCTCCCTGATACTTAACCCCTCCTTGATACTTTACCCCTTCCTGATACTTTACCCCTCCCTGATACTTTACCCCTCCCTGGTACTTTACCCTTCTTTATAATTCATGCTTCCCTGACACTATACCCCTCCTTAATACTTTACCCCTCCCTGGTACATTACTCTCCCTGGTATTTTACCCCTCCATGATACTTTAACCCTCCCTGATACTTTACCCTTTTTTTACAATTTACCCCTCCCTGCTAAGATAACCCTCCCTGATACTTTACCCTTTTTTACAATTTACCCCTCCCGGCTAAGATAACCCTCCTTGATAGTTTAACCCTCCCTGATATCTTCCACGTATTCCAGTTCCTCCAGGAAGAATTGTTCCATTTCCTGAAATAAAAATCATTTAAAGATTTTTTAACTTAAACAAGTTCTGTTTTCTAGAGAAACTGTGATATCGAAATATTTTATCCTAGTATACCTGTATACTGGTATATATCTCCTGGTATACCTATTTACTGGTATATATCTCCTGGTATACCTGTATGCTGGTATATATCTCCTGGTATACTTGTATACTGGTATATATCTCCTGGTTTACCTGTATACTGGTATATATCTCCTGGTATACCTATTTACTGGTATATATCTCCTGGTATACCTGTATGCTGGTATATATCTCCTGGTATACCTGTATACTTGTATATATCTCCTGGTTTACCTGAATACTGTTATATATCTCCTGGTATACCTGAATACTGGTATATATCTCCTGGTTTACCTGTACATTGGTATATATCCCCTGGATTATATTATATATCTCCTAGTTTACCTGTATACTGGTATATATCTCCTGGTTTACCTGATTACTGGTATATATTTCTTGGTATACCTGTATACTGGTAGATATCTCCTGGTATACCTGTATACTGGTATATATCTCCTGGTTTACCTGTACATTGGTATATATCCCCTGGATTATATTATATATCTCCTAGTTTACCTGTATGCTGGTATTTATCTCCTGGTATACTTGCATACTGGTATTTATCTGCTGGTTTACCTGTATATTGGTATATATCTCCTGTTTTACCTGTATACTGGTATATATCTCCTGGTATACCTGTATACTGGTATATATCTCCTGGTATACCAGTATATTGGTATATATCCCCTGGATTATCTGAATACTGGTATATATCTCCTGGTTTACCTGTATATTTGTATATATCCCCTTGATTATCTGTATTCTGGTATATATCTCCTGGTTTACCTGTATACTGGTATATATCTCCTGGTATACCTGAATGCTGGTATATATCTGCTGGTTTACCTGTATATTGGTATATATCTCCTGGTTTACCTATATATTGGTATATTTCTCCTGGTATACCTGAATGCTGGTATATATCTGCTGGTTTACCTGTATATTGGTATATATCTCCTGGTTTACCTGTTTACTGGTAAATATCTCCTGGTATACCTGAATACTGGTATATATCTCCTGGTATACCTGAATACTGGTATATATCTGCTGGTTTACCTGAATATTGGTATATATCTGCTGGTTTACCTGTATACTGGTATATATCTGCTGGTTTACCTGTATATTGGTATATATCTCCTGGATTATCTGTATACTGGTATATATATCCTGGTTTACCTGCATACTGGTATATATCTCATGGTTGCCAGCGTTAGGATCTCTTTTAACGGTTATATAATCAGATCTCTTCTTTATCTCAATCCCGTCCTGCGGGTGACCGGATCCAACCAGGACAAGGAGCAATAATAAAGTTCTCATTCTTATCCTTTTATTCAATCCTTTTCGAAAACATCATCTATCCTTTAATAAAATCTGAAAATATTTTTAAAATTTAAATCATGTCCGAAATAGAAATATTTAGTTTACTTATATTTGATGCCAGATATTTAATGTATTCCATGCTTCACAAAACATTTAATTAAATTAATAAAGGTTCGTTTTTTAATTCAAGTTTTAAATGTTTGTACAAATCCTCTGTCCCTCAAGAACATTGAGAGCTATTGACAGAATTAACATCTATATATAAATTTGGCTTGTCTGTCTGTTTGTTTGTATCCAATAAACGTCAAAACGGCTGAACCAATCGGGCCCAAATTTTTTGTGGAACATCACGTGACAGGGAAGGTTTATTAATGATAAAAAATTTAAAAAAATGTGTTTTAAAGGTTTTTAATTTTGTAAAAAAATTTAAATTCTTGAAAATCCGCGATTTTTTTTTAAAAATCCGCAAAATTTTTTCTTCATCGTTTTAAAATGTAAACAAAAAGAACATGTTAACAATTTAAATAGAAGATGGGCGCGAAGCGCCCTAAAAGCCTAGTTGTTGTATAATTGGTAAAGTTTTGAGCCGGATTTTTTACTTTTTGTGCATTGAGTAAAATTCAAAGGTGTAATGCAAGGAAAGTTAATTGCGGTTGCGTATACTCTGCGTGCATATTGAAACCAGTTCTCTCTGGGCGGAATTTGTAAACAAGAATAGATGCATCAGTGTTCGTTTAGTATCCGAGGAGGTTAAAAGCATTGCATTTGATAATTTTGATAATTCACATAATAGTTTCCTATGACCAGAATATTTCATTGATTTTTTATGTGAAAGATGGATACCATGTCAGGCTGTAACATCCGTCTTGTGTTTACATTACCGCCCAGAGACAGTACACTGCAGTACAAAAGATGCGTACACTTTTGAAATAACTTCCTTTGCATTACATCTTTGGTGAAATTAATCTGATTTTTTAAACTTTTGTGTTAATCCCTACATTAAGCATTTATATGTATCCGGAGAATAAAATTGATTCCTCTTGGAGAGCCCGTGGTCGGAAACCATGCAGTAATAACCTTAAATTGATTGGTTAAGCATTTAATCCCTCAAATTTTAAAGTTGCCCCTGAGGATATCGAGATCAAATATTGTAGATTAGCGCTATTTTACACAAAAGTTTGAATTCTAGGCATTCCCAACTTAATCTCAAAATAAATGTCATAACATAACCTGGTTGACCAGGCACATTAGTTGTTGGCATGTCACACCATAAAGAAACATCAACAATTAAACAAATTTTACAAACGTCTATCATACAGGGTGTTCCAATAAACATGGGAATTGAGAGACGACTTGAATATCGTCTTTGATTTCCGATAATTAATAAATGACATAAAGTGCACCAAAAAAAGATTCAAAGTCCATTGAGCTTGAACAGTTTTGTTGAGTTTTAATAAACTGGATTCTGGAAGAATTTCCTAATATCTCCGTCAATTCTGAAGGTAAAAACATGGTAGACCACATTTTGTAAATCCTGAGACTAGTAGTTTTCGGCTTCAATTTTCGAACTGGGAAACGAAATAATACTGCATGAAACAAAGACGATATATAAGTCGTCATTTAGTTCCCATGTTTATTGGGACACCCTGTATATTAATGCTTAAAATCCAGCCGGGACAATAAAGTGGTTAGCCTGTAAATAAAGCCTACCGGTAATGCTGTAAAAACTTAATCATTGACTTATATCGAGATTTGATAAACCTACCTAAAACTCGTATTTTGTTTTTATAAAAATATACTGAAGGGACCTGAGGACACCATATTCGCATATTTTAAGAAAATACAAAATGAAAACCAGACGTGTTGTCTACAGAGTTAGTATGAGGACTAATCAGAAGAAGGTACGAAGCGAAGGTTGATCAACTGAGACGGATCCTGGAGTTGGAAACCTGGATCTAGGGTTCGGACGAATAATATTTAAACACAGAGCAGTAGAACACTAGACCCGGAGCAAAATTTACCTGTCTCCATCTTGCAACGTAAACGGATATAAATAACAATATACAATATTTCTAATACATGACTAATCTGTAAACGTATTTTACAGTGAGCTGATAAACAACGATACAATAAGGAAGTATAACCATTTTTCTGAAAAGGTGTGGAATTCTGTCAATTAAAAGTACTATAGAGAGAAAAACAAGAATATCCTCTTCATTTAGCTGAGATACAGGTTTAAAGGGTCACGGTAGGAATCGGTCCATGGCTCTTTAAATAGACGGTCCTTTTGATGTACAAATATTTTACCTTTCCTAGATTAAGAGATTTTCCCAAGTGCATTAAGAGCATATAGATTTAATTTGATTTTATAATGATGTAGGAATTATCTAAAGAAAACATCACATTATTATCAATGTTTTTTTCTGAACAGAAGGGAAAAGTATTAAGTCTTGATAATTACTTTCTCAACCTTCTCCTTCTTATGTAGATGACATGTCTCTTACAGCTGTCAATCTATCTTCAGTTTCTTTAAAATAAGAAGAAATTGTGATAGTCTTAAAAACACATAATGTAATATATAAGTTATGAAGAAAATAACTGTTCTCAGCAGATTTTTGCATGAAAAAGGGAGTATACACCAATGAATGTTTTACTAAGAATACTACAATTGCCACAGTGCGTCCTGCGAAAACAAACAAGTCGATAAGTAGATAACTATGTATGTCGTCTTCTTGAGATGTTTCGCAGCATTCAGTCGTGAACCTACTTTATGATTCTTATAGAAACAGGAGTCACTTGAAATAAAGCTTACAGTCCCTTTAACCCACACCCATTGTAAGACTATGGTATGGGAAGGGTTGTGCCACAAACTCAAATGTTCGAATCCCAATATTTTTGCAACTTGGCGGTGTAAACCTTTTATATTTTAAACTTATCCTATTTAATCTCAGAAGTTTTAGTTTGAAATATTTAAGATCCACGACATCAGGTTGCTTAGATATAGGGATTAAAAAATCAGAGTTTGTGACAAATTATCAATTTCCTTTGATTAAAAACTTTCAAAGCAATTGTTAAATATGGTAATATCTATATTTGATTTATTCGACCAATACTTCTCTTATCCCTATATTAATCTGTATTCCTCTATGTATACTGTATACCCAGAAATCTTGCAATTTAGTGTTTAATCCCAGCTCCCACTACTCCTAGTCTTGAATCTAATCCCGGTAATAGGATTCAGATAACACAATTATCTCAGGATACCTGAACATAGCCGACAGTGGTCAATAAAATAAAATGGAATAGGAACAAAAAAATGTTTGCTTCTGCCACAGAATCAATGCTTTGTTTACTTCATAATACATACTTCATAAAGTAGCTTTTTAAAACGTTTTTTAACGTTTATATTTTAATTTGAATTTTCACCAAAGAGAGCAGTGAATTTATTCTCTGACTATTGTGTCTTTTTCTTAGTTGATCATATATCTGCTTTCTGTTCCTCTTCTGTAGATCTATACACTCTAATCCCTTGTAAACACAAAAAATATGCATTTTTACACATACACCACATTTTTTTCTTCCAAATATTACGCATATTGCCTAGAGCTGCAGCTTATTTCTTGACAATTTTCTTATTTACATATTTTTTTTATTTAATATCTTGGTGCCATAAATATCAAACTATAAGTACGCTGTATAAATCGCTGTATATCGTCAGCTTATGTAAACTGCATTTTTCTCTAAAAATGGACCAAGAGGTGAACTGAAGTAAAAATGACGTTTAAAAATCAATATTTAAATATTCACATTTATTTTTTTACATAAATAGGTAGAAACAGGTTAACAAGGAATCGATTAACATTTATTAACAGAAAAAATTAAACCGGAACATGTAGATTACTTAATTTAAGATTTTGTAAGTTTTTGTAACATTTTCATGATTAAAATGTCTGTCAAATTTAGGAATTAATTACCAAAAAGAATATGTTAAACTAAATATAAACTGCAGAATATTTTGTGGTTATTTCTTCAATAATGTAGTAATCAAATAGATTGTAGTACAATAGATGGCAACGTAGAATTTGTACACTCTCAGTACAGTTGTATTCTGTCGTCACAAGTGTCAGTTCAGTTTTTGTGTCGGACAAAATTATTAATAATATTGATAATTTTAGAATAAAGTGCTTTTCTTACAGTGAAATAAGTGCAATTTTATGTGTTCTTTAGTTTCTGTTTTTACACTTCTTTATCTAATCTTGGAAAACATCTCAACTAATGTGAGAAAATTTCGCTTTCCTTGTTATATTTGACACTTGTGACGTCGTGTATAATTTGTTAATTTCTCTGTTGCCACCTATTGTACTTGATAATCTATTTGGTAGTAATTATGGCGACAACGATTTGAAAATTTTCTTAAGTTTTTTTTCTTCATATTTTCCAGTCATTTTCGAGGTTCAACATTTCGGGTGGAAATACAATTAGACTTAAGCTTAGTAACTTGATAATAATGTTTTACAGTCAATCGCTATATATTCTAAAATGTACTGAAATTAAATAAATCACATTTTCGTGCTCGAGGGTAATGAAGAAATCCACAAGCTTTTTAAAGAAATTTGCGCCAGTTGTTTATTTTTAAACAGGATAAAGAGTTTCACTTAATTTTCGAGCACAGTTCCTTTATTAATCGAGGTTTTTTAGTTTATGATACATTTTATCCAACAAAATTTCTAAAACGTTGAAGAAGAAATTGAAAGGATTTTGTTTTCCTAAGTAACACCATCTTATGAATATTTTACATGAAAAGGATAAAAATGCAGAGATTCAACACTTAACATTTCTGCCATAGTAGGGTTGGAGAATATCAGGCAGAGAAGTTTTCTCACGTTTTCTATCTTCCCTCTTAAAGGTCTGAAATGTCAAAAGTCTGGATACACTGTTCACAGAATCTTTGGTTTCAATCTTTGGAAAGAATTTCTCCTGCTCTGTGACTAGTACACACCCGGAGTAAGGTTTCATTGTTTCTTCAACCTTCTTTAATAGTTCGTTCAGTTCACTCGACTCATCACTTGGAGAATATACTAATCCTGAACACTTGGAGGGAATAAAGTATTCTGATGGATCAAGGACTTCTTTTACTCCGTCCTGCTCTATGTAGGAACCCAAATCAACAATGTTTTTGTCGTAAACCCCTATTGTCTTTCTCCCCTCCTCTCCGACTCTGTCTACACTCGAATGAACACTACTTCCCTCAAGTCCTCTCTCCATATTCACATTACATATTCTCATCCCGGTTCTATTCTCAGTCTGGAGATTAGTCTGGAGCACAGACCTGGAGATGATATCTTCTCTAGTTAATCCTTTCAGTTCTTCCAAACAATGGTTTGAGCAGCGCATGAAAGGTTTCACCTTTATACAATTACTTTCAGGGTCGGGTTCAACTTGGCTCCGGTTCTGCTCCGGAACACTTCTCATTTCTCTTTTAAGTTCTAGCGGAGCTAGATCCAGACATTCAAGCCTCCGGTAGGTTTGTCGGGATTCATCAGATCTATTAATTGAACCTCCTGTGAACATAAACATGAATTAATTAGAGAAGGAGACGAATAGAAAACTAAGATCAAATATTCTAATAAAGTTAATTTTATTGAAAACTAACTTTTTTATTATTAATCCTTGATAAAAGGTACTATTATTGTAATTTAAAATCACCCTTTATATATAGAGGGATGTGTCCGATTCACAACTCTGCACCCTTTATTCCTTTATCTAATCAATTATGTGGAAGATATCGTTGTTTTTCCAGATTGAAAAGTATTTAATTAAAACAATGTACTCTTTAGTTTCTTCAGCAATTATAACCGAAAGTCACTTTTAAAATAATCAATTTTGAGAAAGAAGATTCAGGAATAACTACATCATTTTCGTACCGGACACGTCCTTCCATAGAGATATCATCATTTTCCAGTTTATTCAATTTTTTTATTCTTCATTATATATTATATAAACCTGTGGTTTGAAGTTTACTGGAAGGGTTTGGTTTGGTTTGTTTGTAAACATCCTCGTCGTTCTTCAAACTTCTGCAATATTTATCATTAATAAACTCACTAGGGAACAAATTGGTTTAAAATGAATGAGAAGGAATAATTGATTGAAGTTTTGCATGTTTATTTCCCTTTACTAACCTGGGTAGAGAGAGAGAGGACTGGGATTCAATGGTTCCGGAGTTAATTGAAACCGTAACCTCATATTCTCCCTCTCCTCGTCTGATACGGAGAATAAGGTTAAGGACGGAGAAAAAACTTTAATTTAGATTTGGAATCAGTGAAAATGGATCAGCACCGGGTTTACTTGACACCCGTGGTATACTTTTTGTGCTAGTACCCTAAATGAGTTTTTATTTAATGTAAAACCATACATTCTAGGAAAATAAAAACTAAAACAGAAGCAGAGACTAATAAAGCAAGTTTTTAAGGATTAATTGATTTGGTGATTTTTATATTTTTTCCCCTACAGTTTCTGAAAATAGCTAAAAATTATTGAATGTTATAAAAAGACACAAAATGAATAAAATAATACCAAAAATGTTTTATTTTTCAAACAACTGTATTTCAAAGTTGAAGGTGTTGGGTTTATCAATCACCCGAATCAGATTTCAGGTCAGTAACCAGATTAGTTTAATTGAATTTAGTTTATATTGAGTATATATACACTATACAGATAGAGACAAGTTTGTCAATCAATGCCAAAAACTAAACCAAGCTCTCCAGAGAAAACCAACCAAGCTCTCCAGAGAAACCCAACCAAGCTCTCCAGAGAAACCAAACCAAGCTCTCCAGAGAAACCAAACCAAGCTCTCCAGAGAACCCCAACCAAGCTCTCTAGAGAAACCAAACCAAGCTCTCCAGAGAAACCAAACCAAGCTCTCCAGAGAAACCAAACCAAACTCTCCAGAGAAACCAAACCAAGCTCTCCAGAGAACCCCAACCAAGCTCTCTAGAGAAACCAAACCAAGCTCTCCAGAGGAACCAAACCAAACTCTCCAGAGAAACCCAACCAAGCTCTCCAAAGAACCCCAACCAAGCTCTCCAGAGAAACCCAACCAAGTTCTCCAGAGAAACCCAACCAAGCTCTCTAGAGAAACCAAACCAAGCTCTCCAGAGAAACCAAACCAAGCTCTCCAAAGAACCCCAACAAAGCTCTCAGAGAAACCCAACCAAGGTTTTCAAGACACTTTACAGGGAACCTTATCATGGCTCTATGAAGAAACTTTAATTAAAAACTAGCTTGAGAACCCAGCTCTGCCAATGTGACTAAAAGTTACTAACGCCGTTTACCCGCACTCGGACGATTTTACCGGGAAACTAAATATTCGCTCATACTCAACTTAGAATCTTAAAAATCAAGCTAAGGACATTCCCGTGGGTTCCAAATTCCCAATCAAAATTTGAGGAAAATCGGTCCAGGGGTTCCTGAGTTATGATAGGGCAAACAAACAGACAAACAAACAGAGATTACAACTCTCTATATATAGATGTTAGGACCCAGTCGTACTCCAAATCCAAAATTCCAAAAAAGATATTCCCAAAATGAAAAATATCAAATCAAATATCAAATATCAAATGCCACACACTCGGATTTTCTAATCCAGAAATCTTTGCAACCGAAAGTCGTAGACCTTAGATATTTTAAACAATGATAACCTTTAGATCATATAATCTAAGAGTTAAATATTATAGGTTTAAACCATCAGGTTACAAAGTTATAGGGATTAGAAAATACGAGTTTGTGACAAAGACTCAATTTGACTATTATTGAACTACTTTCATTTTCTAATATTCTATTCCCGTAATTTGGTAAATTTCCATTCCATTCCGAAATTGCAATTGCAGAATTGAATTTAGCGTTGAGGTGATGATGAGAGGGATTTTGTGGTTTGGGAAGTGTTGCTGAGTATGGAGGGAAGGTATAGGAGGGGCTAAACGACAATACAGGAAATGTTAAGTAAAGGGAGTATTGGTTTAGGATAGTGTTTAGAGAGGAGGGATGGTTTAGGAAAGTATTGAGGGAAGGTGAAATGGTTTAAGAAAGTGTTCAGGATATATGAAAGGTTGAGAAAGGGTCGAGGGAAGGATGAACGGTTTAGGAAAGTGTTCAGGATATAGAAAATGTTTAGGAAGGATTGAGGGAAGGGGGAATGGTTTAGGAAAGGGTCGAGGGAAGGGGGAACGGTTTAGGAAAGGGTCGAGGGAAGGGGGAATGGTTTATGAAAGGGTATATGGGGGAATGGTTTAGGAAAGCGTAGAGGGAAGAAAGTGTTGATGATAAAGGTTTAGAAAGTGATAAGAGAAAGTGGTATTGGTTCAGGAATATGTTGAGGATAAAGGAAAGGTTTAAAAAGTGTTGAGGGAGAAAGAAATGGTTTAGAAAGCGTTAAGGGAGGAAGAAGAAATGGCTTAAGAAAGAGTTAAGGATTCAAATAAAGATTTAGGAAGTGTTGAGGGGGGAGGAATGGTCTTGAATACATTGAGTGAAGGAGGAATGTTTTAGGAAAGTGTTGAGGAAGGGAAGAATAGTTTAGAAAAGTGTTGTGGATACAGGTTTAGAAAATGTTGAGGGAAGGGGAATGTTTAGGAAAGTGTTGTGGATAAAGGAAAGGTTTATTAAAGTGTTGAGGGATGGGGGAATAGTTTATGAAAGTGTTGTGGATAAATAAAAGATTTAGGAAAATGTTGAGGATGCAGGAATGGTTTAGGAAAGTGTTGAAGATAAAGGAAAGGATAGGAAAGTGTTAAGGGAGGGGTAATAGGAAAGTGTTGAGAACAAAGGAAAGGTGCTAAAGGAGATGTTGAAGGTTTAAGGATGAAGGAAAGGTTTAGAAGGTGTTGAGTGAGGGTGGAAATGTACGAGGGAGGAATTTTAATATAAAAATCTGGTTTAATCTGTGAATGAAATAGGATTAAAATCTCAAGTATGTCTGCTCCGGGAATATTGATCTCGAATTAATTCCGGAGTTGTTTTCCCGTCAATTCTCACATCTAAGGAATTACCAAGATATAACAAAATATAAAAAGAAGAAACCAAATAATTAGAGTTTGCTATGTAGGACGTTATTAAACAAGGTGCTGAGATCTAGACCTGGGTAGAAAACTATAGACTTGGTACTCAGATCTAGATCAAAGCAAAAAACTAGAAAACTAGATTTAGAGCTCAGAACTTGGCCTGGAGCAGTTAACTAAAGCTAGTGCTGATATCTAGACCTGGAACTGAAGACAAAACCTAATGATGAAATCTGTACATAGAGCTGAAAACTAAACTTAGTGATGAAATCTATACCTGGAGCTGAAAACTGAACCTAATGACGAAATCTGTATCTGGAGCTAAAACCAAACCCAATTTATGAAATCCGTACCTGGAGCTAAAACCTAACCCAATTTATGAAATCTGTACCTGGAGCTAAAACCTAACCCAATTTATGAAATCTGTACCTGGAGCTAAAAACTGAACCTTAAGCTGGGAACTGATCCTTGAAATAAAAATAAAGGTGAAAGCAAGGTGAAAGCAAGAACTATTCCCAGAGTGAGAGATGAGTATAGATTACAGGACGAAGCTGCCAAACTAGGTTCTGGTTCACAAAGAAAAGAATAGAATTACAACAAATCTGCATGGAACCCCTTATATAACTTTGTTTACAAGTACTCAAGTTTTTAACAGGAATATAAACATAACCAATTAAGGTACAACAGGAACCTCCAAACCTTTTTTCACAAAAAAAGTTTACTGCAGTTTCTGTGAGAAATATTAACAAAACACAACTAACCTAGCCTGATCACTTGCACAAACTTGTTTACATACATCCAAATCTCTTTTTGTGCTTCTCCTGATCTTTTTACATAGTTTACATAATTCAAAGCTCTTATTCTTATTTTATTTTATAAAGAAAGAATATAGAAAAGTTAAAATATAAAGAAAGAATATAGAAAAGTTAAAATTTAAAGAAAGAATATAGAAAAGTTAAATTTAAAGAAAGAGTATAGAAGAGTTAAAATTTAAAGAAAGAATATAGAAAAGTTAAAATTTAAAGAAAGAATATAGAAGAGTTAAAATATTAAGAAAAAATATAGAAAAGCTTAAATATAAAGAAAGAATAAAGAAAAGTTAAAATTGAAAGAAAGAATATAGAAAAGCTAAAATATTAAGAAAAAATATAGAAAAGTTAAAATATAAAGAAAGAATATTGAAAAGTTAAAATATAAGAAAATAATATAAAAATGTTTAATACACTCTATGCTCCTCAACAACCCCTACAGATCTTATTAGGTATTCGTTTTATAAATTTAAAGAAAGCTTAGTAAAAAAACTTATTGTAATAACTGTGTCTTTGATATATATATGTAAGACTGAAGGGGCGTACACAGGAATTTTCCAGGGGGGGGCTTAAACTTTGTAGTTATTCCATGGCCCCCCAATAACACTCGTTGGGGCCTGAAAACTCCCTGGAAACCATAAATTAAAATGATCCAGGGGGGCTGAGCCTCCATAGCCCCCCCCCTGTTTACGCTTCTGGATAAGAAAAAAGACCAAAGAATATATCCCGGGAGTTAAAAAAATTAAATATTCAATGAAACCACAGAGTAGAGAATATATATAGAGTGAAGGCAGGATAAGAAACAGACCAAAGAATATATCCCAGGAGTTAAAAATGAAATATGCACTGGAACCACAGAGTAGAGAATATATATAGAGTGAGACCAGATAAGAGAAAGACCAAGGAATAAATCACAGGAATCCCATATTCATAGAACCACAGAGTGAAGAATATATATATATAGCGAGGCCGAATAAGAGACAGACCAAAGAATATATCCCAGGAGTTTATAAAAAACTAGGCTCGCGCCCATCTTCTATTTCAATTGTGAACATGTTCTCTTTCTGTACATCGTAAAACAAAACAAAAAAAGTTCGCGGATTTTAACAAAAAAATTCGTGGATTTTCAAAATTTTCAAAAATTTAATGAAAATCGAATTTTGATGGAGACAAATATTTGAAATTTTGATCATTCATAAACCTTCCCTGGGACCACGTGAGGTCCCACACAAAATTTGGGCCTGATCGGTTCAGCCGTTTTGACGTTTATTGGATACAAACAGACAAACAGAAAAGCTAAATTTATATATAGATTGAAACATTCAACACAGAGTAGAGAATATATATAGAGTGAAGAACAGATAAGAGACAGACCAAGGAATATATCCCAGGAGTTTATAAAAATTGAAACATTCAACACAGAGTAAAGAATATATAGAGTGAAGACCAGATAAGAGACAGACCAAGGAAGGTATGACAAGAATCCCATATTTAAATATGCACTGCAACCAAGAACTATACAAGGAACTCACATAGCTTTGTTTACAATAAAGTGTACTGCAGCTCCCCCTGAGTACAATTAATTTGGTACATTTATCCTATTATCTTAAAGGTTCTTTAATAGAAATTAAATAACTTTTGTTTACATTTTCCCACTTACAACAGTACACATTTAGAAAAATGTCTGGACTAATCCTTGAAGACAGTTTCGCTTATTAATTTAATGAGTTTGTTTTATTTGTAAGAAGTTTGTTTAGTTTATACTTTAGAGTATCATTTAACTTGAATAGAACTCTTAAGAATACGTGGTATTATACTAGGAGAATATAATTAATTAGTTGAAAGAGGTAAAACTTTTAGCGCAAAAGGAAAATGATTAAAACAGATGAAAGTAAAGGTTTAAACTGGGAATAAATATTCAGGCATCCTGGGATTCAAAAATGAGATTTATAATTTGTAAAATTTGAGGTTTTATTTTCAACAAGTTTAATTTAATCTTAGTTCAGAATATTATATTTCTCTGGCAGAACCCACTTAGAGACAAGATTAAAAGATTAGAATCGGACCGGGGTTTTTAAGTTTAAAGGGGACATCAAACCGACAAATAAAGTACTGGTTTACTTGTATAATCTAATTATTATTCCTTGAATAACTTCTTGTATTCTAGACTATGCTATCCATCCTGGTTGTCTGGAGATTGGTCTGAGCTGTCAAAATAGATACACGTACTAGTGTGTATAGTGGTATACAGGGGTATATAGATATTAGATATACTAGTGGTATATAAAATAAGGTTGCTTACTCTCGATATGCTCCAATGTACGGAAAATGTCGTCTCTTAAGCATAGATAGATAAAAATCCTCATATGACGTCACTGATTATAGAGGTGAGCGTGACGTCATATACTTATTTTATCTATCTATGGTAAGGAGACGACATTTCCGTACATTGGAGCGCATCTAGAGTCAGCAACCTAATTTTACAACCTTTGTATACAGAGTTTACAGGGTATACAGAGATATCTGGAAGAATATTCTTATATATTATATTAATGCACCACAAAATAGTTTCAGACAGTGGGTTGTTAATATACAGTCTGATGGGATTAAAGGGAATCCATATTTTTATGTTAATGTTTTTTTTCTTTATCATCAAATAGCACCTTAGATTTAGAGTTTTAGATTTATACAACTTAATCACATATTCAACATTTTTTTATTTTATTTTAAAGGGACTGTAAGTGTAATATTAAATGACTGTCAATGGAAAGATGGCCATATTAGATTCACAACAGTACTTTTTGAAACCGTTATCTGATCAATAATGTGGATGATATCTTCATTTTATTAGGCTTTTTTAATTCTGGCAATTCCCACATGTGTTCCTGCAATAGAAATGCACAAGTCGCTTTTATAGAGGAACCGCAATTAAAAATAATCAGTTTTCAAAATTACAAACATTGATATCTAATTCATACTTGATCAGACATGGTTTACCATCGGGTATTGCCATCTTTGCATGGAGGGTCACTTGAAATTATCCTTACAGTCACATTAATGCCAAGACGTATTATTGCTTCTGTAAATAAACTGTTTTTTTGTTATTAAAAGTTTGACCTCTTGGTATTTAAATATCCTAATCTTAGGACCTATTTGGGTTTTTAACAAAACCTTCCATACTTAGCGTATAGAAGAGAAATACAAAAAATAAGATGAAAATATAATCCAGGATATCACAAAGAAAGTGAGTTTTTGCCACAACCTCAAATTTTCTAATTTCTATATCTCTGCAACCAGTAGGTTTAACCCTTTGATATTTCAAACTTACATTATTTGATCTAACAGAATTTATAGTTTGGAATATCTAAGGTCTACGACATTGGATTGCCAAGATATAGGGATAAGCATATTTGAGTTTGTGGCAAAAACTCAGTTCCTTTCGATTTAATTCTACGAAATAATGTTGATGTTTATGAACCTAAAGTTAAAGATTTTACAAAATTTAGAATTAAATTTAGAGCTCAGTTACATTTGCCATAATACTTTTGCCATAAATACATTTGCCATAATTACATTTGCCATAATTACACTTGCCATAAACACTTTTGCCATAAGTAACACTTGCCATAAGTTAAACTTGCCATAATTTGCTAACATTTACAACTAATTATTTTTTCTATAAAGGCGTTAAATTTTCTCATGAAAAGAGCTTGGTGAAGAATCAAAGACAATACAATAGTTTTCCAATAGAGAAGTAACTTAATCTCACTGCTCATGAGCTGCCCTCATGTAGATCTGTTAATTGTAGTCACAAAAGTTATAATTGTAGTTGTTCAATAAAAAATGTATGGATGTTAATTCTAACTATAATTGTATTTATGGCAAGTGTTACTTATTGCAAAAGTATTTTGGCAAACGTAACTGAGCCAAATTTAGAAACTGAGCACTGCCGGACTCTGATTACGTATAAATCTGCTAAAAAAAATGACAGTTGTTGAACAGGGACTGCAGTCGTAATTTCATGTCACTTTCCTTTTAAAAAAAAAGTTTCATGTCTCAGATTTACAACGGTACCCTAAAACATTTTTTCTTATAATCAAAAATGTATGAAACAGGCATTTTCAATTCTTTGATAATTGATTATTTTTTATTGTGACTTGCAAACGACTGGACGGATTGGGCTGATTTTTTTTGTAGGCACTAATGTGTGGCCCAGGGGTGTTATAGACTTAAAAAATTCGTAATTTAAAAAAAAAAGTTCAAAAACTTTCTCTTTTTTCCACGGGCAACGCTGGGCCTTTCAGCTAGTCATAAATAAAACTATTCAACCTTGAAAATCCCAAAGACAGTCTCATTAATATCTAGATGTTGAGTAAACTTGAAGATTATCCTCCCTGAGCCGAAGTAGAAAGAAGATAATTCCGAAGAGAATAATAACAATTGATACGGAGATAGAAATCCATTTCAGGGTTTCCTCACCAGCTGCACTAGACAGTGTCCTAGCTTCAACCTAAAACAATAACTTGGAAATCAAAGATGGTGGAATGCTCAAAATAGAACACCAGGAATGCGCCACAAAAAAATTTGTTATGAAAGGTTACATTTGTCAAACTAAAAATACATTAAATTATTTCCATCTATCAAAAGTGTAAAGTTTAGTAGAGTACCCGGAGTTTTGATGTCCCATCTATATTCATTAATCAAAAAATCTTTATCATTTAAAAATTTCTCATTATCAACTCGTATTGATTAAAGAATGAATTTGATGAAAAAGTATTTTAATTAACACTTCATAAACTCAGGTTAAAAATATTTTCTCTTCCGAAATCCTGAAATAACATCATGTTGTGTAAAATCTAGATGAAATAGAAACATATTAAAAAAAATATATGATATTTTCAAAGATTCTGGAATAATAAGAAGCTCCCTTCGAGTACTGAGAAGCTAGGCTTACGGGAGAGTAAGATTGGGAGAATAAGAAAAACTGAGAAAGGAAGAAATGTAAGAAAGGAGGTACAAAAGTTCGGCAGGATAATATAAACTAAGGGACGAGGAGAAAGGGACGAAAAGTAAGGGACGAAGAAAAAGGGATGAGGAGAAAATGACGAAGAAAGTGTTCATTATTTATAATTGATGGACGAAGAGATGACACCTTAAACTTTATATCACTATGTATTCATTTTTTATAATATTTCAGCGTCTCTAGCGAGTAAAGAAAATTCTGGGGAATATTTAGTTCTCAATCAATCAATCAATCAATACATGAATACTTTATCTATACTTGAAGAGTATATGAAGTACTCTTATACCAGTGCAATATACATATATATTATATAAACAGGTTACTACAGGGTTAGACACAAAGAATAAGACTTTAAAGAGATTGTTGTCGTATTTTCAAATTACTCTCAGCTTTACTCTACTCATGTCCGATTTACAACGGTACTATTGAAACCTCTGTTTGATCAAGAATGAAAGAAAAATTCATTTTTATCTCTTTTAAATTTAATTATTTTCAATGTGGATTCTCTACAATAGTAACTTGTGAATTTCTCCTGCAGATACAATGGGACGTAATTATCAGAATCAAACAGTTTTCAAACTGGAAAACCTGTATATCAATATAATATCTATAAATAAGTTCTTTATTGCTGTTCTAACAGCTGGCTGCAAATGTTTTAGGGAACCAATGGATGCCCCGGGAAATGGCATAGGCGAAAAAAATTAAATTTTTTTGTACAAAGTTTTTTTAAACCTGGGCAACACGGGTACTCCATTCAGCTAAAATTCTATATAACGGAAGATAACTAAAAGTATGAGGTATGGTATTTACACAGTTTTAAACTTTAAAATTTTCAATTACAAAACTGTTTACTTCATACCCTTGAACAAGAAATGTGGATTGTACGGTCTGTACTGTCTGTACTGTCTGTACTGCCTGTACTGTCTGTACTGTCTGTACTGTCTGTACTGTCTGTACTGTCTGTACTGTCTGTACTGTCTTTTATTTATTCTATTTTACTTGTATATATTATAAATCATTATAAATATATTTGATACAGTAAAACAAACAAACATTATTTAATTTAACTAATTCTTTTATTTAAATCAATAATTCAAAACTATTTTATAATCTAAACAATTTCTTTTTAATAGTTTAATATTTTTTATAGTTGACACTTTAAATAGTTTTTGGTTTTAAAAACTAAAAATTACAATATTTACTGAACCATGATAAGTGCATGTGTCTAGTCCCTTTAATGAAATATAACCTGGTTTGTTCTAACTATGAGAATATCTGAGGTAGCGGAGAATAAAACCGTTTCATCCTGTCCCGGAGATAGAAACCTCTTCAGTTCAGAAACTAAATAATAAAAAATGTCGATAATTAATTGTTCAGATTACTTTTTTAAAAGAATATGTTTAAGGCAAAAATTATAAAAATCACTAAAGGACCATCAATAGTGCTGAAAATAATTCAAAATGGCGACTATGAATTTAAAACTTCAAAAAGATAACTTAATTTTTAGATGTAAATGACATCATCGTCGAGGTTAACTAATGCACTTCTACAGCAAAAATCAGCAAGAAAATTGCAGAAAGCGAGGAAACCAGGATATTGTTGTGAATCATTTATATAACTAGGCTCATCTTCTATTTCAACTTATAATTGTGGTTCTATCTGTAAGCATCTTCTTTTTGTAAACTATGACAAAAACAAATACTTTTTTTCGTGAATTTACTAAATTTAACAAAAATCAAAAACTTTTGGACACAAAATTTTTGTAATTTTGAGAATCAATAAACCTTCCCTGTGGTCATGTGAGGTCCAAAAAGAAATTGGGCCCGATCGGTTCAACCGTTTTTTGGATACAAACGGACAGACAAACAGACAGACAGATAACCAAAGTATATAGATTGTTTAACTAAAAGAGTCACTAAAAATGGATTTAACATTTTCTTAAAATTGTAAGTTTTTATATATTCTAGGGCATTTCTTCACAAAATTATTAGAAATAATTAAATGGATAAAAATATGTTTACTATCTAATATAATATGATCCATTATAAAAAGTTACAAATTACTTTTTTCAGAGAATTGATTATGTTAAAAAAACATTTATAACTAGATGTCTTTTTATTGAAGTGAAAATATACTTTTTTTCAATGCTTTAGCTTTTTTTCATAATTTCTTGTGATTAGAAAAATGACACGAATACACATATTGTAAACAAGCATAGTTTCTCGTAAATTCCCTTTCATAAGAAAATAACTGTCAACTTTGATTCTTTAGGTTTTTTTAAAATTAAATACTGGTCAACTTAATGATATGATCTTATTTGGTATTATGTCTCTACAACCCTTCTTTAATCATCCCATCTCTCGACATCTCTCATTGAGAAAACTTCCCTAACTCTGTTTTGAATATATCTCTANTCCTGAGTATCCTATCTATACTCTTGAATGTATTCTAAAACCTATGTTGTTTTTACTAGAATCCTGAATACAGTACTGATTATCCCGAAGAATGTTCCAGATGTAAAGGAGATCTGAGATGTATAGACTGGAGCTAGGTAACCTGATATACTGGAGCTGGAATGTTTATTTTTTAGTTCATACCATTGCATTAAACAATACATACAATGGGGTTCGAGATGAGAAGATGTATGTTTGCAAACGATATACAAATATGTACAAACAAATTTATTAAAAATAAGTTAAGAGTAATGTGTTTTCAAGAGAGAAAAGCAGGATAAGAATAAATTTTACTTTCAAGTTTATCAAGTTTTATCTTTGATTTAAAACTCTCCAAATCAATGATTGAGAACAAAGAGTTGAAAACCTTGTAAAAAGGCGTGAAAATTAAGTACTTATAGGAGATTAACCGCAGTAGGTTGGAAGGAAAACATAGGAGTATATTGTGTTCTTGTTTGTATAAACCATATGAACTCTAGCTCTGTAAAGTACTGTAAATATACAGTATCAAGGATTACTATATTGTATATAAGTTTATGTATCAGACCTGGAACAGATGGATAAACTTTTCTAAAGTTTACACAACAAAATTGATCCAAACTTCAATCTGGTTTATACTAAAATATTATTATTCTCTTCTATTGTCTGAACCTTACTCTTACTCAACGTTCCGATCAGTAAAACTCTACCTGCTCTTAATTTTTAACACAATTAAACCTACCGCATCAAACTTTTAAACAATTAAACCTACTCCATCAAAATCTTATCACAATTAAACCTACTTTATTAAAACTCAATCAAACGTTCAACACAATTAAACCTACTCCTTAAAACTTGTATCACAATTAAACCTACCACCATCAAACTATTATAACAATTAACCTACTTTATCAAAACTCAATTAAACGTTCAACACAATTAAACCTAATCCTTTAAACTTTTATCACAATTAAACCTACTCCATCAAACTTTTATCACAATTAAACCTACTTCATCAAAATTTTATCACAATTATACCTACTTCATCAAACTTTTAACACAATTTAACCTACTCCACCAAACTTGTAACACAATTAAACCTACTGCGTCAAACTTGTAACACAATTAAACCTACTTCATCAAACTTCTAATAAAATTAAACCTACTCTATTTAACTTCTTCCATGATTAGACCTACTTGATTCAACACAATTCAGCCAACTTTTCTAGCTAACCACAACTAAACCTACTCTATATATTTGTTCTAACTAGAGCCTGTCATTATATCTATTCTGTATCTAATAAGTCTAAACTCCTATTCTATGCTAATTGAAATATCTATATTCTTATCTGGAGAAAATAGATAGTTATTGTAAATAGAAAATGACTATATCTATACAGTATACAATCTAAATATCTGTTACATGTAAATATCTGAATACTAAATAAGTATCCACCTTAAACTCTGGATACTATAGAAGTATCCAGCATCTGCCTAAAACTCTGGATACTGTATAAGTATCCAGTACCCACCTTGAACTCTGGATACTATACAAGTATCCAGTATCTGCCTAAAACTCTGGAAACTGTATAAGTATCCAGTACCCACCTTGAACTCTGGATACTGTAGAAGTATCCAGTATCTGCCTAAAAATCTGGATACTGTATAAGTATCCAGTATCCACCTTGAACTCTGGATAATTTATAAGTATCCAGTATTTACCTAGAACTCTGGAAACTGTATAAGTATCCAGTATTCACCTATAACTCTGGATACTGTATAAGTATCCAGTATCCACCAAGAACTCTGGATAGGTATCCAGTTTTCACCTAGAACTCTGAAAACTGTATAAGTATCCAGTATATACTATCTACCTTCATCAATATTCAGAATGATCAGTGCAGTATAGATTTACATACTCTAGATTATCTCTCCAATACCTCTCTTTCCTTTTCTTTTTCAATTTTTTCTATACTCAGAATTTTTTAGAAACATATATTTTACACATTTAAATAATAATATGCCTCTGAAAAAAGTAAATTCTATTTAATACGTTAACATTATATCGTTTATTTCGTGTTTATCCTGTCTATCCTGTCTATCCTGTCTATCCTGTCTATCCTGTCTATCCTGTCTATCCTGTCTATCCTGTCTATCCTGTCTATCCTGTCTATTCAAAATGATATAATTAATCATTGATTAATCGATTAATCCTCTATGTATGGATTATACTTGTTATCATTATTTTGTGATCATGAATATTGTATGAATGTGTGGTTTGTTGGTTTGATTCGTGTATGATTTGTTTCCTTAGCTATTGTTTGTAACCAAGATTTGTTGTCGTCTTCCATAGTAAGAAAGTGAGTTTTTGTCACAAACTCATATCCGTATATCTTTGTAACATGATGGTGTAAACCTTTGATATTTCAAACTTAGACTATTTAATCAAACAGAATTCATAGTTTGAAATATCCAAGCTCTTAGACATTGGGTTGCAGAAATATAGAGGTTAGAAATCAGAGTTTGAGGCAAAGAATCCATTCCTTTCTGAAATTTGAATGATTTTGAGTTGTGCTTAAGTATTGTATGTTGCTTCGTTTATTAGATTTAACAGTACACGTGAATAGGTTTTGTGCTGATGGTAAATGTACCCATGTTGCCTGTATAATTCATATGTAATATGTATGATGTATAGAATCCTAAAGTGAATATTTCATGAACCACCTGAGTAATTGATTGATCGATTGAATAGCTGAAAATTAAAGAAAGCAGAAATATGTGACCCCCCTTGAACCATCTTACACTGCTAACTTTCTAGCCATCTATTTATCTATCTCAACCCGGACATTCAGGGGGGGGGGGTCTCTTCTATTCCTTTCCGTCCCCTGAGCGAGCTCCACTAAATATCTCTCTTTACCCTTCTCCCCCACCCTGGTCTATATAACTTCATCCGTGCATAATTTTATCCATATGTGCAGGAAACCAACAAAACCTTCCATAATCATTCTCTTCTTTAGAACACGTTTTTTGGGTTTAAATCTATAAATCAGCTTGAAGTCCGGATCATTATACATATATTTGATTAACCAATGCAGGCGACAACACCAGGCACTAGACACATATTAATGCTTGCTCTGAAAAATTCTTTGTCAGCATTAGTCCCCTAAGCCCCCCCCCCCCCCTCTCCCTCTCAATGCAAACCCACATATACGTCCCAGTTCTGAGATGTCCTCATCAAATTATTTCTTCTCTCCCAAATTTCCAGGATTGGTTTTAGTACAGTATGTATGGAACACAGATTACAGAGATAGAAAAAGAGATCTACCTATTCTAGAACCATAAATTTATAACATTTAAAGGTTCTCGATTGCACTTATTAATCCATAACATGACTCTATATTACACAAAGATCCAGAAAACTTTGAAAATAATGTATAAGTTTTAAGACTGCGCCGTGTCGACTCTAAAGTGTCGCAACGCTTAGGTTTCTGCTTTTGGTATTACGTCACCGCTCGCATCAGATTCAATTTTCAATGAGTAAATGTCAAAATTCTTAACTTGGGTTTACTGGAAATATAAAGTCCAAGAGGCCACAATGAGAGAGTGGGGGAGGGGAGATGGTAGAGGTTTTAGGGTACTGAAGAGCTTATTTGATAATATAAAAGTTGCGAACAACTGCGGTTTTGTATTTTCCCAAGAGAGACTTCCCAAATGTGCAATTTCCCACGCGGCAACTTCCTAAGGGTTATGTGAGGCCTTCTTAGGCGCCGCAGGGAGCAATGGGGGGGGGGGACGAGCGCTGCAGCTAGGACGTACTTGGGGAAGTTGCCGCTTAGGATCTTTATATCATAGATGCTTCGGTTCTTGGAACCTTAGATCATAGATGCTTCGGTTCTTGGAACCTTAGATAATAAATGCTACATACAGTTCTTTT